TAAAGTTGAAACATGGTTGACTGACCATAAATTTACACTGAGACCTCTCGATCTACTTAAGGGGATGTGATCTAGTATAACAGTTTTTATCACTATTCACCAATAACCTGAGAAACAGAAGCATGACATGATGCAGCACGTGAAACAGTTTCCTTAATTGAAGGACCTGAACCAGCAAGTAATAAAGATATAAAATTATCATCGCCCAAATATTTAGCTGCCTCTATCGCACTTAATGTTGAACTCTTGATATATCCTCCTTCATGTTCAGCCACAACCAATGTCTTGAGCTGTACGTTCAAAAAAACATTAGTGACAATGTTTTAGCTTCTGGTAAATAATGGACTAAATCAAAATGGCCACATACAACTCTTACTTTGCTTCTTACACTCTATGAAGTTTTGGTTTAGGGTTTGCATAATGAATGCTCATAAACCTTTCTAGATCAACCTGCACCACTTTGACCACTGACCCCAATGAAGCTGGGCTTATACTGAGTTTTGTTATAGCGATTGAAAGTAAAAACTGATACACAAAGTGGTTGGTGCAGGTTAAGACCTAGAAAGGTTTATCTTTTTTCATCACACAAAAAGAAAATCCTAAGGGTTCGTTTGGTACACGGAATTGACAGAATTGGAATTGAATTGGAAATTTAAATTCTATGGAATTGATTTTGATGGAATTGAATTCTCCAATTCCAATTCAATTTTGGCACTACCAATTCTAAATCCACATATTTTTGTGTTACCAAATAGAAAAATTGGAATTATTGTCCTCAATTCCAATTCCATAGTTTGAATTCCGTGTACCAAACGGAGCCTAAGTTTAATTTACTAACGATATGCAAGTAATGGATACAAATGGTACAATACAATCAACAATTACTATAACAGTATCGGAGCACTCGTTTTGATTGTTCCTATATTTTACTCTGTAATCAATTAAGGTACCGTTTGGCATCAGCGTTAGAGATTAGAATTAGCGTTTTGAAAAGGTTATCTGACGATAGCCTTTAGTGTTTGCTTTTTTCGAATTAATCTACACCGTTAATATTTTATCCAAAACGCTAACGTTAATTGAAAACACTCTTCCCAAACAAGGCCTAACTTGCAGATAAATTTTAATCCGTATTAAATCATATGAGTGTGTGCAATTCAGGCAAAATAGTTCGCATTCATAGCAATTTCATTTCCAACTCAAACTTCAAGCAGCAAAGCGCTATTCAAAACCTCAACCGTAAACAATTAACCTCATACCAAAATGATTTACTCGCTAAAAATGCGAAATCAGAGAAAGATTAATTTAAACAACAAAAAACGATGTCGCCATTACAAGAGCTTATATCTGCATAACGACTTAGATTTGAGGATTCAATCGAGGAAGATATGTAATCTTACTGAACGATGATGAGGAATTATGCGCGAAGTGAAAGAGCGATTTTTGACAACGGAGAGCAGCGAACGAGTGGCCATGCTTGTGCTGTGTTGCTTGAAACCCAGCTGAGCTGAAACTCCCAAATCAGTTACACGGAGGAGTGATGTTTTAATAGAAATTTATAAGTGGAATAACTGGGGAATGAAAAGTTAGAAAATGTTTGGAAAAAATGAAAAATGTTGAAATATATAAATATTACTTCAATTCGTACATTTTTTAAATTTCATATGCTAAGTATATAGTACACTGTAGTATTTTTTACTCATTATTATTTTTGCTTACACTTTTGACATCAATATCAATAATGTAATTTTTGTCTCTTAATTTGCATGCCAGTTACTCAAATATATATGAGTATTCAATTACTCAAAAATGTGTATTCAAGCGGATGGACGGAAAACATCATACATCTGGATAAAAATTGACAAGAAACAGTGAACCAGTCTTTTAGTTTAGAGGTTTGTAAATTGATGTGCATGGTTGTGGAAAAAATTGACAAAGATAATACGACGTTATCCTGATCAAAATAAATATTCTTACACCACACTTTATACACTAAAAATTACTCACTACAAGTTATGTTGCACCACACAAAATGACCAGAGAAAATATTGATATTTTTATTTTCAAAATAGAAATTACACAACTACATTATGGAAGAAAAAATCACACAAATAAATATGTAAGAAAACCGAATTTGAATCATTTTATTTTTTTCTTTGCTTGTATTTGACCTTCGTCTCGGAATATTTGTCGATTTTTGACTTTTTACAGTCAACCGTTTCCAAACTTTGACTTGTAAATAAATAAAATATATATTGTATATTAATTAAATAAAATAAATTTTTGAACATATTTTATACAATAAATTTAATAAAACTATTTTGTATCAATATTTAATATCATTTTTATTTAATTTGAGGTCAAAATTTGCCAATTTTGACTGAAAAAAGTCAAAAGTGAACAAATACTTCGAGATGGAGGGAGTATATGTTTGGATGTACAATTTTATTGTATATGTGCCATAAACCTTCACAAGTTACACAATGCTATTCAGATTCATTTTTTCTACACATACACTCAGAGCATGCACGTCATAAAAGTATTAGCAATATTAATTTCATTACTAAAAACGTTTTATTTTGTTGCCAAACGTGCAGGTGAAGAAAAACGTATTGTACGTTGTATTTTTTTTAATGAAGTTTAGTTGTAAAGAGATTATTTTTCTAAAATAAATTAACTGAGAAACTAAAATTTAATAAAAATCATTATCAATTTAGTGGAAAATATTTATAAATTATTGAAAAATATAAGAAATTAATCAAGTTAACATTTCAATATTTTATGTTTTCTCTATAGTGGTATATAATTAAAATCGTTTTGAGAATAACCAAATACTACGTAATTTTCTATATAAATGCGAATATTACTTCAAAAGTTTCGTTATGTGATTGACATTGATAATAATAATTATTATATTAAGAATATTGTGAAAACTAAACATAAATAATACGGAGTATAGTGTATTTTTTAAGTCATGAAGAAACTAGGAGTTAAAAAAACTGGAAAAGGTTTTAAAATTTTGAAATGAGTTGAAAAATGTTGGGAATTAATTTTTGCAAAAAGACTCTAAAATTATTTTTAATTCTACTTATTTGAATAATGACACAAAAGTTTAAAATAAAATTTTTAAATTTAAATGTTATATCAAATGCTCTATATAAGATTAGATGTCATATGGTAGTGATATTTCAACAAATAACCTCTGAAAAAAACAAAAAAATGACATGTTATAAATAGTCTTTGTAATTTAACTATGAAAGGGAAGAAGAATTATACAAAACAAACAATGTTAGATGTAGAAGTATAGACATGCATGATCTCTACTTGTCTAGTTTAAGTAGTTTCAAAGCATTTCAATCTCGTTAACTTTAGTGTAATGTTTGATTTAAAACATCAAAAAATGTAATATGAAACAATTTCAATTGGCAAACATGTTTTTCATTTATAAATTTATTGTGTTTAGTACTTTAGTCCCATTTATAAGAAATACTCTATCCTATAATTTGATTGAGAATTGTGATAAATATGGTTGGATATGACAAAAACTAAAACAATTGGAGTGTGCATTTTTTTATGTTTATTTCTAACTCCTTATAATTTGTATAGTATATATATTTTAGTATATATTTTCAGACTATATTCATGACTAATTTACTTAAATGGAACTAAAATATAATGACTTTTTCAATATAAGACCATATGTTTTTATTTTCCAATGTAGGACATTTGGCATTATTCAACTAAATATCCAGCATCATTTGCACATTATTCTTCTTACTAGTCATTAACTCATTATTAAGTCTTATTTAGGGAATAAAAAAATTTAAATTCTACATTGAAAAATGACTTATGTTTTAGTCCTATTCAGTGCAAATTTCATTATATTCAATTGTTCTCCATTCACATAGTTTTTCAAAGCCCAGCACTATTTATTCAACTCAAAAAACTTTTTAAAATGTTAGTCAATTTTAGTATTTTCACCATTTTACAAAAAATAAATTATTCCAAAAATCAATTATTGGAATATAATTATTTAATTGAAAATATAATTTTAAAAACCTGTTTATATATATTTTGAATATGTAAATTATTTTTTTCAAAACAAAATCAATTCTTTAAACATAGTGTAATTATAAATCTGAGAAATAAATATCACTTTGAGTGGTATATTTACACATAGTTTAATATAGTTTGAAAATCATATTTTTGAACATAATAAAATTATACACCTAATTTTGAAATGCCTATGGATTTATTACTAAAATAAAAATTATTTTCAAAGTAAATATATATGTATTCAAAAAAACTGAAAAATAAATTATTAAAACAAGTTTATAATTTTATTAGATTGTGAAAATCACACTATCCTACTCAAATAAAATTATATAGCATTTCCAAAGAAATAAATAGTTAACGAGACTTAAAATGGTATATAATTTTATTTATGAAAAAATTTGGTTTTCATACTGTAATGAAATACTAAATTTACTTCGAGAGTATATTTCTTAGATTTTCAAAATGCACATTGTTTATTTTTTGAATATTTTTTATTTTGTAAATAATTAATTATGTACAATCAAGAAAGGGCATATACTCCTCATGTTTTAAAAAATTTCAGGCTTAATAAAATTATATGTAAATACATCATTCAAAAAATTCCAAAGTATTAATTTTTTATATATAATAGTTTTTTTAAAATTATTTTTAATTTTGAAAAAATTTATATAATTCGAAACATATAAATAAGTTATTTTCAAAATATATTTTGAAAATATGATTTTTTTAAATAATACTAACATTTTTTTGAAAATATTAGAAATACTAGGCTCAAGATGAAATTTTAATGATTTCATCAGAAATAATAATTAAATTGAGAATGCATGTTAATTTTTTTTAAATAGTTTCAAAGATGGAATTAGTGATTTGTTTTTAAAAATGCCCAAAAAGTGATTATTATTCTTTTTTTAAGGGCGTAAAATGCAAACTATTCCAGGAAAGGAAAAAGAAAAAAAAACTCGTGCTAAAGAAGAGAGAGACACTTCTATAGTTCCGTAGTTTCTCAGCGTTTCCTCTCTGACCTTCGTCCAACCACGCTGAACGAGTGAACTCGCTCCACTTGCGTTACGACACTCGGAAATCGGAATTCCCTCCTGCAGATCGGCGCCGGAAACTCAGCCGGGCTCGGCAATTTGTTTCCTCTTTAATCTATTCCTTCCGCCGCAATGCCGATTTCATCCAGCAAACTCAAATCCGTTGATTTTTACAGGTTACACTTCTCATTTGGTTGTGTTCTGATGGTTCTCTGCTATTAATTCTGAGCTTCCGCTTTTCATATATAGTTCTCCGTTTTACATTGGCGGTTTCTGAGTAGCTGCTTTCCAGCTCCTGATTGTGGAATTTCTGTTTGATATGATTATATTTCTCTGAAATGCTAAATATATATGTATCTATGTGTTTAGGTTTTCTGATGTGTTCCCATTTCCACATTTGAAGGAATATGACCAAAAGTAGAGTTATTTGCCAAAAAAAATGCATGGAAATACGCTGTCCGCACCTTGAGTGCCTTACTCCTGATATGACTACGCTTAATTCATGAAATAGAAAAGTTCAGGCCAAAGCCGGGAGCTGTCTAAGTTGTTTAGTTTTTCTTTTTGTATAGGAAAATTCCGAGAGATCTGACAGAGGCGTCGTTATCAGGTGCTGGGCTATCCCTTCTTGCAGCCTTTTGCATGATCCTCTTATTTGGGATGGTAGGGGATTGATGTTTCTTTTTATTCCCACAGTTAAATAATGACCAATGGGTAGAATTGGAACTCATTTACTGTTTCATTTTCAGGAACTGCATCATTACTTGTCTGTGAGCACCACAACATCAGTAGTTGTTGACAGAAGTGCTGACGGGGACTTTTTACGAATTGATTTTAACATCAGGTACGATTTTTTTATAGCTGGCCTGGCTTGCCGCTCACTCCTTGTGCCAAATTTTGCCTGTTCAATGTAATTCATGGTTCTTAGTGTTTATGCTAGCATTTACTTGCTGGAGTTGCCTTTATTTTCATATCCAAGTATTAAATACGTTTCATCTTCACTAGATGCTCCTTTGCTCTAATGAAAATCAAAGATGAACAACCCATTTGCACATGACAAAGTGCATTAATATCTTGACAACAATTTATAAAATTTCAGTTTTCCTGCACTGTCTTGTGAATTTGCATCTGTGGATGTGAGTGATGTCCTTGGAACGGTAAGTCTTTTGAAACTCCCTGTCAATTTCAAGTATTGTCATGTTTGTTCATAAATGAGAATTCTATTATAGGCATGCTAGTAAACTAGCCACTTAACATAACAGCGCTGTTGTTTTATGATCAAGACCAATTTAAAATTTTCATCTTTGGCAGTTGACACAAAATTAGAGTACGCAATAACTAATCATTTCCTTGGTGGGCTATATGCACCACAAATTAGTTCTTTTTGGTTCTTCCTAATAATAGATGGATAGTCAATCTTTTTCTTGTTAAAATATTGAATTTTAACGATCTAAGATTGTATTATGAGCTCGATAGACTCATGTCTTTCCTTAATACCAGAATAGGTTGAATATCACAAAAACAGTGCGCAAATATGCAATAGATTCACACTTAAGGCCTACTGGATCTGAATTTCGATCTGGAGCAATTGAAAATACTATTAAGCATGACGATGAAGTAGATGAGGAGCATGCTGAAGGTTCTGTAACATTAACTGGACGTAACTTTGATAGAGTATCACACCAGTGAGTGGATCTTATCCGATTCATGTCTTTCTCCTGTGAAAGATTCTGCTAATTCTCATCTACTTATTAATTCTTTTCTTTTTAACAGGTATCCAATTTTGGCTGTGAACTTCTATGCTCCTTGGTGCTATTGGAGTAATCGATTGGTAATCTCATCCTACTCATCACTCAGGTTTAATGTTTTGTGCTTTATCTGCTTGCTACAGCCCCTCAACATCTCCATCTTTATGCAGCTGACCACCCCTTACATATACTAATGTGGGCTAGTCTATCACATATAACATATTCACTAATTTCTTCATTTCTTGTAGTACATAATGAATATTTAAGTGTTCTTGATATCGTGGAGGCTTTCCAGTGAGAATTTTCAATTTGAATGCTACTGAGAGCTAACTAACAACTGTTTCTCATTGATGTCTTAAATATCAGAAACCTTCCTGGGAGAAAGCAGCCAATATACTAAAGGAAAGGTCTATTTGCTTCTTCTGTACTTTTTGCAAAGGGTGTCCAATACAATAGGAGTATTTTCTTTAATGAAATCTGAACTTCATTTCTCATCTGAACTTGAGTTCTAGAATTTTCTTGACATTTTCCATTCAAACCTTAGATGCACATTTTTTTCCTTTTAGATATGACCCAGAAATGGATGGGCGGATTCTTTTGGGAAAAGTTGATTGTACTAAAGAAATTGACTTGTGTAGAAGGTAATTCTGAACTGAGCAATTAGTTTGGTTATTTGGAACTTTTTGGTTTTGCTTAACCATACAATTTTTGTTCAGAAACCACATACAAGGTTATCCATCTATTCGGATCTTCAGGAAGGGAAGTGATGTTAGGTAATTATTTACTGTTATTTATATAGACCACAGTTCTTATGACACCACTCTCCGTGTCATAATATGAGACCGGAGCCATTTGAGGACCCTACGATGTTCCATGCGACCCTGAAGTGGTTACCACCCCCTAACCTCCCACACCCCCCTCCCAGATCCAATATCGGCAAAAGAAGTGGGCTAAGGGGCATGGGACGGGCTGGGGGTTTGTGGAGGGGGAGGGGGGAGCCGCTTCGGTATCAAATGGAGCACCGGAGGGTCCTCAAATGGCTCGCTGTCATATTATGACACCAGCCCTTGGTGTCAAAAGAGCCTTGCTCATTTATATATTCAGTACTCCATATCTTTTTAAAAATCTATGTTTTTTACCATGTGGATTCAGAAAGCAACCAGCTCAATTATATTTCAAGACAGTTGTTGGTAGCATCAATACGTAATGTGGATAACTACTTTAGTAGAAAATTATTGATGAGTTGAAGTTTATTTGTATTTTCAACCTCAATACAGGCTTGTAAAATAGAGCTATTTTGTTTTTGTAAGAAATGCACAGTAGCATGTTGTACCTCATCAAATATTGTGATCTGATGGCAAAAACGATTCTTTTTGGGTTTGCATTGCGTGTATTTCTGAATATTTTTCTACATGCTTTATTGCTTTTAATGCAGAGATGATCATGGACACCACGATCATGAGTCTTACTATGGTGACCGAGATACAAACAGCCTCGTGACGGTATGTACTACTCCCTCTGTTCCTTATTGCACTTTTTTTTGTGACATTCCAAATTACTTGGCACAATCCATTTATGGAAATTCTTTCCGTTCACATCATCTTTTCCACCAATTTAACCAATTCTTCTCTCCTCATTAAATATCTCTATACAAATTCATATCCCCTGATTAATATTCATTGTAATCCAGTCCTAGTCCCAAGTCAAAATGCGCAAACCATTAAGGAACTGAGGGAGTATTCTAGAAAAAGTTACGGAGTACTGTTACTATTCATAATGTCAAATCATATTGTCTTTCGTTGCATATTTTCATTGATCATTTGATAAAATAAAATAATCACGCCACTTCTTGTTTCGTAGAAATTCTGATGCATATTTTCAATATACAATTTTTTTAATACACGTCCATTGCCAATGGAGCTAATATAGTTGTAATATGCAATTTTTAGCTTCGGGTAAATAATGTACTGAATCAAATGGCACATTTCCTATGCTTCTTACTTTCAATTAAGTTTTGGGTAATAAATGCAGCAATGCATCAAGGGTCTAACGGAAATGGTCTCTATGTATTTTACTGACGTCTGCGTACATCTTTGACCCCAAGACCCCAATGAAGTTTAGATTACACTAGGTTGTTGTTGTTGAGTTATTTTATAATTTTACACTCATATGTAAACAAAATGAATTGAATATTACTTCAGTCAAACACCATAAACTGAAATAGGACGATTTGTGCGGGACGGAGAGAGCATATTTTAGCAAAGATGAAATGTGATAGGAAGAAACCAAGACAAATAAATGGATGCCCTTTGATGATGCATGTTATGCTGCCCATATCAATACATGTGATGGATTATGCATAGTGTGCATGTCTCACATGACCTTTAGGGGGCATTTGGTTTGAGTAATCTTACATTACTTTGGTAATGTGAGGTTATCTTGTTTGGTTCATTTTACTTGTAATCATACATTCACTTATCCTCTCATTTTCCAAGAGGTAATTCTATTTCTGAATGTAATTTTAAATTCCATGAACTAAACACCCCCTAATGTTTATGGGTCCATTACTTAGCACTCACACGATTTACCTTCTTGCCTGCAGACAATGGAAGAACTGGTTGCTCCTATTTCGTTGGAATCTAAGGTTACTTCCGAGAGTAAGTCCGACAATGTGACAGAAGGTAAAAAACAACCTGCACCAGCAACAGGTGGATGCAGGCTTGAAGGGTTTGTGCGTGTTAAGAAGGTATAAATTTTAATTAGGACAAACAAATTTGATGATAATGAGAACATGGATTGCATTGTGCATTTTGAGAAGGGAAATGGAGTTATCTGGTAGCCATATCCTAAGAAGCCGTTTGAATTTGGAAAATGCTATGTAAAGAAAATAGAGAGAGGAAAGTATAAAGGAGATTTGGAATGAAAGTTTTGAGGGCATAAAGTCCCACATTGAACAGCCAGTCAAAAAATGACTAATATATATGATATTCTTCTCCCGGGATCTCACAATTCTACATGGTATCAGAGTCAAGACTTAGGAAGCAAGTGAACTTGAGTGAAAAAGATCCAAGTTGCAATTGAGGGGATGTTGAGGATATAAAGTCCCACATTAAACATCTACGTTTAAAATGATTAATATATAAGAATATGAATTTCTCCTCTCATTGTCCATTGGTTTTGGGATCAAATCTAACTGGTCTACATAAATAAAATGTGAAAGAATGTAAAAACAATTTTTCAAACTTATACTCCTTCCATCTGAGTGCATTTGTTCAAATTCTTTTTTGCACTTGAACCATGGAGAAGAATATACAATTTGGAATGGGCTACAATATTGCCCTTTTTAATGAGAGAAATTAAAGTAGAATTTAATGAGAGGGGTAAAAGAGTCTACAAAGCACTTCTAAATTACTCTAAAGGGAATGTTGAGACAGTCCAAAAAGGAATACTGGACAATGGACACATACATTGGGATGCAGAGTGATTTTTTTGTTGATATTTTTTTCCCTAGCATTTTATTGGATCCATGCATACCCTAAACGGGCATAGGCTATTGTATTTGTACAAAGGCTATTGTAATTATACAAAGTAGTCAGTTTAGAAGACCCCCAAACATTAAAGTAATGTGTTTTTCTGCTTTCAAGTAGGGATCAGGTCTGCTTACACTCACCCCGATACCCTACTTTTTGTGGGATTCTACTAGATTTGTTGTTGTATCACATGGTTGAGTCTAACATGCAGGTTCCTGGAAATCTTGTCATATCAGCTCGTTCAGCAGCTCATTCGTTTGATGCTTCTCAGATGAACATGTCACATGTAATTTCCCGTTTTTCGTTTGGCAAGATGTTAACTCCGCGGGTGGCAAGTGATATGAAGAGGTTAATACCATACATAGGTCAAAGCTATGACAAGTTGAGTGGCAACACATACATTACTTTCCCAGAGAAGCCCAGCGAAAATGTCACTGTAAGTCACTGTTCATTTTTTTCCTCATGATTTCAAATATCCTTTCTCCTGTATCATTCATCATGCCTTAATATGCTGTTGGTGCTTTTTTCTTTTCTTCCTAATTACTTCCTCAGTCCGGATTTAGTTGTTCACTTTCTTGTTTCCGTTTGTTCGGAATTAATCTTCTCCTTTTAATGTTCAATAAAAGAAATCATGATGAATTGTCTAAAATTCCTAAAGATAGGATATTAGCATTGTTGACATGAATGACCAACAAACGCATTTGAAGGACTTATTTAGTTATTTGACATTTTAAACTCATTTCTTAAAAAACACGTTGAACTCCTTTCAAATTCATTTCCTCTTGATCTTGTTTTGGTATAAGTTCCATGTTTTACTCTTATTTAGGTAGATGTCTTTAATTTATTTGCAGATCGAGCATTACATTCAAGTAGTGAAAACCGAGGTGATGACAAGATCCTATAAATTAGTGGAGGAGTATGAGTACACTGCTCATAGTAGTTTGGTACACAGCCTTTCTATACCGGTGGCAAAGTTTCATTTTGAGCCATCAGCGTTGCAGGTTCGCTATTACCCTAACCCTTCTCGTGTCTCAGTACAAAAATCTTCTCGTTCTAATTTTTTAAAATAACTGATTAGAGAATTTTTATTATGCTAAGTGCATTATAAAACACTCGTTCTGATTTTCTTTCTAACGTAAGCAAATTACAAAAAAAAACAAAAACCAAGTACAATCTCACAATAAGTAGGGTTTTGGCCTTGGGGAGGGTGTGTATGCACGGACTTTATCCTACTTGGTAGTAGAGAGACTATTTCCAAGAGACCTTGACTCAAACACAGAAGCATAGAAGTAAACATCTTAACACGAACAAATAATACAAAGAAATGCACCCATACTTATACTAGCAATTCAGACCTAAAACACAAACATGCATGAGTTTTAAAACTACAATTTTCAAACTAAAGCCCAAGGTCTACCCAACTACTTCAATCCTAGACCTGTATGAGTTCCTATTTAAGGCCATATCATCTATAAGATTCTGAAGTCAAATAAAAATAACTGCATGTTGTCGTAATTAATGTCCATTTTCTATGATCAGGTCCTCATAACAGAAAACGTAAATTCGTTTTCGCACTTCCTCACAAATGTCTGTGCCATCATCGGAGGTGTTTTTACGGTCAGTCTCTCTCTCTCTTCATCATCAATTTACTCTTCTTCTTCTCCTTTATAGACTTGTATCATATCTTTCATTTTTCACATTTTGCAGGTAGCTGGCATTTTGGATTCCATTTTGCACAATACTATGAGACTGGTGAAAAAAGTTGACCTCGGAAAGAATTTTTGATAAACAGTTCATTAATATCTATAGAACTTTTTTTTATAATTAATTTATTTAAGATAATATAAACTGTCTTTAGACCAAGCATAGCATAGCATAGGAATCTTGACTTCTTTTTATGGAACGTCTGTTTTGATTTTGGTCTCGGGGAAACCTTGATCATTTCTTCATTCACTCTTTAATTAAATGGCTAAATCTACTACTACCATCTAAACTTGTTAAATTCATTTTCTGTGACAAATATCAAACACCCTTGGTTTGTAATATTTTTTTTCCCCATATAACCATGGTTGGAAAATATAAATATGTACCTCAATCATACGATAATTTGAAAGGGGGGAAAAATTAGAAAGTTAGTTCATCATCAATGGTCAATTGAACCGGTCTGACAATAGCAATAAAGCCAAGAAAACAAACAAAACCGGGATCATGAACCCGGTCCGAGTTCCATGCGCCGCACTCGATCGCTTTGGAATGTGTGTGGGGAGTGCACATTCTTCACCATTGAAGATCACCTTGCTGGGAAACCCATCTCCTTTTGCAATGTTCACATTGGGGATACCCTTCTTCAAGAAGGAGATCACCGATTGTTGTTTTCCCGGCACTCTCGGGTCGGTTTCCGGGTGGGTTCCGTTCACTTCTCCGACCAGATAGTTCAGCCCCGGCAACCCCTGCATGAAGATGGTGTTGTTTAGCCGCGGGTACCTCGTCCCGTTGAACGAGTACACGTTCTCGTATCCCCGGCCGGTTTTCTTCAGCTGAACCACCGTGAACCAGTCGGCGAACGGGTCGTCCCTCCAGTTGAATAGCGTCATCCGGGCAGTCCAACCGGTTCGGTAGTCCGAGTCGACGTGCCAGTTTATGCTCACCCCGCAATTGTCCGGGCACGGGAGTTTCCTGGGGACCTTGTGGTGTTTGATGTCGGCCCACGCCAGGGCTTTGGCGGTCCGGTTCGCGAACGGCACGAGGAGCGCCTCCGCCGGGAGGGGGAGAGGCGGCGCGTCGGGATTGCAGCGCCTCTCCTCGTCGTTGCCGCAGCCGCACGCGCACGTGTTGCAGGGGACCACCGAGTCCGTGTAGTACGCCGAGAAGGAGACGCAGCATTTGGCGTGCTTCGGCTTCGGCCGGGTGATGTTGCACGTCACCTGCCACGACGCGACGGCGGTCGTGGTCATGGCGGTCCCCATCGGGTCGGGAAACTCGCTCGGGTCCACCCGGATCGGTGGACCGCACTTGTAGGTTGGGTTGAGCTGGCCCACTATGTTCCAATTCTGCGGCGGGTTGAGGCTGGCCCGGTTCAGATCGGGTGGCATCTTAAACACCTCCAACTGGAACATTGACTTTGACTTGGTTTCGTTCATGGTCTTGGGCAACAGTGTCCCATTCCTGCAACCATGGTTGAAAATATTATAAGATGTGATTACTTTTTTCATTGCTAAGGATTCATTTTGTACTCACATATTTTGGTGCTACCAAACTATATAATTGAAATTGAAATCTCAAATTTCAATTTATGTTACAAATTTCATGTACCAAATAGGACATAATTGTATTTTGAAATGAAATCTCACAATTCTACGATTTTTTGTACATACCTGCAACAATGTGGGATCTTCCCTATCTTTTCGTCTTCGGAGAATTGGGGTGGGAGGTCGGAGATGACGGGCTTGGGCTGGCAGTTGAGGATGGTAGAGAAGTCCATATCTAAGTAATACTGGCCTTGTGGGCCATAGATACACTCGGAGGGGTCCTTCACGTGAGGGAAGGCCCCTCTCATGGAATTGATGAACTCGTTCCTCATCCACTCCCAAGTCAAATTCCACTGGTCCAAACGGCCCAACGGGTTGTTGTTCTCGATGGTAACTTGGGCCAGGTATTTGTTCTCGTATGCCGACATCACGTCGTATGTGAAACTCAGGTCGCCGTGTTGTCGGGGGAGGAACTTGGTCTTCAACTTCTTGTCTTTGAACTTGGGATCCCTCTTGCAGCACATGCTCATATGGTTCGCTGCTTTCAAAACATACAATTTGTGATTCAATACAACAAAAAAAGGGAAAGAGTTCAAATACTTGTGATAATATTAACTACACAAAAATTAGGGGGTATTTTGAAAGAGCACATATATATGCATATATGAAAGGTGAGAAAACTTTTTTTCTATTGAATAAAATAACTTATTCTATTCGTTTCAAAATTTTCTTTTTATTTCACCTTTTTATCAAAGTTTATATACTTTGAACACAATATATTAAAGATGGGTACGTACAAAAATGTTTTGGAGAAGGGCACTTATATCCTTCATTCAAGAGCTTGATGGTCTTAGGCAAAGGGGTGGCCTTCTCCCTCAACCCAAACTGAGTCCCCTTTATATTCACCTCCGACCGTATCTGCGCGAAATCTCCGGCGGTCTCGATCGCCGTCTTCAAGTCGGACTTCGGGTACCCGGAGAACACCGTGCCGTTCTTCGCCACCTGGATGGGGAAGCCGCTGTCTCCATCCGCCACCACCGCCTCCACGACCGCCCCGTCAACCGACACCAACAGCTCGTTGTACTGGAAGCCCACCAGGACCTTCCACGACTTCAGCTCGCGGGCCCCGGCGTTCAAGACGCTCAACATCGCCTTGAACGCCCAGGCCTGAGCTGACGTGTTGGTCACCAGGGGATATATCTTCTCGCGGCCCAGGAAATTGTACGCGACGTAGATGCCGTCGCACCGTTGCTGCTCAGGCGGCGGTGACGCCGGCTTCTCGTCCTCGTAGTCCTGGGCCGTGCAAACGTTGGAGAAAATGAGAGCCAGGGAGGCTAAGAAAGAGAGGAAGGCTATTCTCCATGGCATTCTCATGGGAACTTTTATTTATTTATTATGCGTTCTGAAACGTGAAACGAATTAATACGAAATATATATAAATATATAAATGCGTGGCGGCAGGAGGAGGAGGGAACACGACGGTGCCGTGGCGGCCACAACCATGCGCCACCAAGGTGAGGCCGCGGGCGGGAGAGGGGGGGATTATAATGGGTAAAAACTTAAAGGGGGGAAAAAAGAAGGGGAGGAGATAAAAGAGGGGGGGAAAGAAATGAGAAGGGAAAAAAAAGAAGACCGTTAAATTTGGCTTATAATGGGACACAAAAGGAGTTGACCATTTCAACGACATTCTCGTCCTCTGCTTTCGCTATTCATTTGGAACATTCTCAACATTATATATATTTAGTGTAAAAAAAATATGCAATCCATGATTTCTTATCTGTTTCCTCCTAGCGTCATGCCTCTTCAAGATAAAAATAAATATTTTTTTTCACTTTTTTGAATTAAATTGTACAAATTTTAGTTCATCTTAAAATGTTACGAGAGTAATCTATGTGATACTAACTTAATTTTACGAGAGTAACTATGTGAGACTAAAATTATTTTCAAATCGTTTTATATAAAAAATGATGCACAATTTTAAAAAAATATATTTAAAAGTTATATCAAAAGATCAAAAAAACTAGTACTACCTCCACCCCGGAGTATTTGTCCAGTTTTGACTTTTTTCGGTCAACCGTTTTCAACCTTTGACTTATAAAAAATAAAATTTATATTATATATTTTTATATTAATTACGGAATAGATAAAATAAAATTTAAACAATATTATATATAATAAATCTAATGAAACTATTGTTGTATCAATATCTAATATCAGTTTTATTTAATTTGGAGTTAAAAGTTAACCAGATTGAATTGCAAAAAGTCAAAAATAGAAAAATAGTCCGAGACGCAAGAGTAGTAAGATGACTATATTATGTTGTATTACTTGTATGATTGAGTGTTGATAAATTAAACTCACACATTGGCAAATGGTAGGAGTGGGTGAGACGAAAATGTTTAGATGGATATGTGTGTGCAGACAAAAATTGGGCCCGGGAAAAACAAAACAAATCAGGTTGTAATGTTGTATTATATGAACAGTATACAGAAGTCTAATTCATCCGATCTAAGATACAAGTCGGATAAATTATTCATAACAGAACTAGTCAACTAGATATATATAAGATATATATATAGACAGAAGAATATATTTAAAATGATATTCCGTAGATCAGAAAACACCATGACATGAAGCACTAACTACACCAAAATCTTTATGCATGCACCACCCTTTTATGAAGCTCCACTAACCGCTTCAAGCTTCTATACTCATCCATATGTTAACTCTTCTCTTATTGGTAAAAGTTTCTACCATCAGTATGACACCGCCAAAAAAGGCTCGTGATTTTCATTTAAAAATATTTTCTCTGCTCTATTTTGTTATTTATTCATTGGATTTTGTTGTTCGATGCGGTGTTGACCCAATATCGAGTTTGTAGGGTCAACACTAAAAAAAAGCAATTTCCATTTGTAGTAATCATCACCCGTAAATCACTTGAATGATTGAAATAAGCTTAATTGGTCTGAACCAATTCAGTTCGAAATATTTCAATCCAATTCAGTCTAAAATAGAATATATTTAGGGTCAATCTTCGACCCGATCCAGTTAAGTTTAGTATAACCATCCATATTTTCAACAACTATGAAAGTTTTGCACTATGTTTGGTTCAAGAATTTTGGAAGGAAAAGAAAAGAAAATGATTTTCTCACACTTTCCTCACTAAAATGAAAGGAATTTGGTTTTCCCTTCTTTTAATACATTTTGCCTTCTTAATTTCTTTTCCTTCCACTTTCTTTCATTTCCTCTCCAACCAAACATGAAAATCAATTTTCCGCTTTATTTTCTTTTCTTTTCCCTTTCAAATTCCTTGAACCAAACATAAGGTTAGGATAATGTAGCCTACCCGTGGAAAATAGAAGTAACTTATGTAATAGGATACCTTACTAAAAGTTTGTACTTTGTGTCTGTGGTGTTATTTGTTCACCATTTCTCTTTTCCTTAACAAATATAATCAGTGTGTATACAGAAATGAGCAAGATTTTTGACCTAAAACATGTGTCTTATAGATTGATAGACATGGGAAGGTTTCAAGTGTTTTTGGCCAGCAAGGTTTTATTTGGCTTTCATCATTTAAGTAAAAAAAAAAACAGTTTGGATAGAAAAAAGTATAAACCTGGTCGATCAATACGGAGATTTTGTAATCACAGAGAGTCAAACAACAGCTATCTCCCCAACACTAACCGTGTTGACCTCAACCAACTGGGATTTATGCTCCAAGTCAATGAACTCGTTAGATTTGCTGGCAAGGTGTGATATGCTCACCCTACCCACACGCTTGATATAGTCTGCAACAGCTTTCATTTCTTCCTGAGAGATGTATATGTACTTTCCTCTATCATCCATCACCCCCGAAAGCCTCCCTGGTGAGAACTCGGTTATTTATTTTTTTTATTAAAAAACAAAAACAAGTACTAACAAGTTTGCACCTCCAAGTACTAAATTTAGAAAGGACAAAATAATTCACTAGTTCAAAGAATGCAAAACTATGGGAGTATGTTTGGATCATGGGAAATGCTACTGAAAGCAAAAAATAGCTAGATTTATTTTCTTATGTTTGGTTTTACCTTGGAATATGCAAATGAAAATGAAATATGATTACATTTTAATTGAATTTACATATATTTAGAATGGATTGCTCGGATCTTTAGAAACCAACTAATTGATTTGACTTGATCCTTTAGGATCAAGTAACTCAAGTGCTTATATCAAGACATAAAAATGAGAATCAATACATGCACAGAGTTTCAGCCAATATATTATCTTCCCCTAGAATTTCTTTCATTACCATTTACCCTTATGTTTTCTTCCTATTGCATTTCCCAAATACGGAGTATTTCCAAAACAGCCCATACAGGTGGTCATTGGAAAACATTATGGAGGCAATCCCTTAAAACATCACAATCATTCCTTGCAGCTGATATAAGACATAGTTCAAGACTCTTGATGACCAAACCAATGACTCCAAAAACTTTAACTTCATATCAGTGTTAAATGCATCAAAAGTAAGATGCCTAAAGCTGTGTTGGGAGCAAGTACAACTAAGATAGACAATGCAATACAATAACATTATTTCAATTTACATTTAGAAGAGGAAAAATGACCTACCCATCTCTTCCAGTGAGTTGATCCGGTTAATACACTCCTGCAAAACATAGAGTTTATATACTTTAAGAGCATGTCGTAAAATGTAGCACCACAACAATGCATGGATTAATATAACTATGTAATGTACACCGTAGCTTTGCATGCTTGAATAAGGTTAACCTGGGTTTTCAACTCACATAAAAGAAAACAGTTCTTAACTCTTGGAAACAGCCTCTCTACTCCTGAGAAGGGGTAAGGTCTGTGTACACGCACCCTCCCCAAACCCTACTTTTTGTGGGATTTTATTGGGTTTGTTATTGTTGTTGTTGTACAAATCAACATGAGTGTTTACCTGGGTTCTCAACTTGAATTCTGCAGCAAGATCCTCCAGTGGGACACATTTATGCTTCTGCCACACAAGGAAAAAGTCTAAAGACCAATATTGTATGTTAATTTTTTTGGCCCCTCTGTCACTAACTGAATTTGCGGTTTCACTTGGTAAGTTAGAATTATTTTTCATGCAAGTAAAAAATCCCTTAATCTATTTGACTAATTTGAGCTGATAAACATGAATTCGGTAAAGGCTAATCCGTCCCCTCAACATCGCTATTATTCTTTTTTGCAAGTGCATGCATAGTTCTAAAACTTCTACTCTGTCCCAAAAGGATGATGATTGTGATATGCTTATTCCAGAATTATACAAAGAATTCTTTTATTATTGGTGATTGTGGTAGTAATGGTTACAATAAAAAATCATAGATATACACTGCTCAATGCTCACAAATCTTTTTTTAGTTAATGTTTTCACTTTTCATGTACTAAAAGCTGGAAAACTGACATGGTAAACTGTGTATATAAATCGAATGGAATGATCCAAAAGTTAGGATAGAGAGAACATAATAATGACCCCCCGTCCTTAAAGCAGATGGATCATATAAAAAAATCACCTTGATGTACTCCACAAAATCAGAAAGTAAGCCATGGCTTTCATCTTGAACTTCACCTTCAGTTGTACCTTCAGCATCAACTGAAAATGCACTCTTCCATTTTTCGAACTCAAAGGCTGCAGCTTCTTCCTCTTTTGCCTGACGAGCTTTGGCTTCTTCTTCCTAAATATATATAACGCAAGGACCCTAAGAAAGTAACACAACAAAGACACAATATAATTGTACACAAAACAAGACGTGTCAACTCACTAAGGCACGTTCTTTAGCTTCACGCTCCTCATCTTTTCTCCTCCTAATTTCATCATAGCGGCTTGATTTTGACTGCCTTGATTCACGAGCAGATTGTTCAGCCTACACAATCAATCAGGGCACATGACAAACAAGATTCGGTTTCTAAACAAAGTTGTGTAGGCCGTAGAGAGATCAAGCACAACATCTTTTCCTTGGATCACATAGAAAATATAGAAGACAGTGTTGTTGTGAAATAATTTTATGGGACTAAAATTTTTATATCTTTGTTTAGTGTAGGGTATATCCCTCCGCATCCTTTGGAAGCTTGGGTTACCTTTTGGGTGGGGTGGGGATGGAATTGTTTCATCATATAGCATAAAATAGTTCCTCAGAGGATGCAGAAAGATCAATATATTCAAGATTATTTATTTGATTTCAATACAATTTAAAAAAAAAAGGCAAATTGACATAAATAAAGAAGTTGCACCTGTCTTTGAGCTTCCCTCTCTTGACGCTTCTTTTCCTTCTTCTTTGAAGCTTTGGCAGCATAATAACCATCTCCAGAAGCTTCATCATCACTTTCTTCAACACCCTCTATCCCATTGTTTTAATTTAAAAAAAACTCATTAATGCTGCAGGCAAGGCCACTGAACAAAAGCAATAAACAGTTTCTTTCGAGTTCACGGGTGATTTCAGTGAAGGAGAAGGCACCTTCTAGCGCAGCAGATGCTGAAGATGTGCTGGCAGCTGAAGAAGCCGGTCTTCTCCGCATGCGACGGGCGCCAGTTGCCCTAACTACAGCTTCCCTCCGCCTAACCTACTTCCAATTTGGGCCAATACAAATTCAAACTCATGCAAAACATAAACATTCAAGCTCCCCAGCTGAAAATTGGGGGGAAAATAGCAATTTTGTCCAAAACCTAGCTATTTCAATTTGTATTTTCTATAATCATGAAAAATTACCTGAGCTTCTTCTTCATTCTCTGCGTGAACCTGAGAACTCTTCCGAGTTTTCCAGATGTACAAAGGTATTAAGACCAAAACAAGGAACATCGAAAGTATGGGGACGAGTAAATCCTCCATTCTTTTATCAATGCAGCGAAAGCTCTGAAAACCTTCGGATTATATGAAATTATCAGCTGAATATATGAACCATCAATTCCAATTCCTCTGTGATTTCGCGCATAAAAATGAAGAAGAAATCGGGACGGGAAATGGATTGCGATTTACGAGTCAAGCGCAAAGCCGAAAAGAATCAGTTCCTTGACTTCCTTCAATCAAAGCCCAAAACATAGTAACTGAAGAATGATTTTTTTTTTTAATTTTGCGCTTTATTGGTTGGGCTTTATTTCTGGGCCTAATTTGTTACGGAGTACTAAATTACACGAGCGTCCGAAATTCCTGTAATTAGCCAATCCAATTGTTATAGGATACCTTTCATTTTGTAATAAGAACTCAAATGTTTTACCGGAGTATTTTTTAAAAAAATGTACTCTGAAGTATCTTTAATTGCTATTCCCTCCATTCTCAAAAACACTTTTTTTTTTCATTTTTTCTACTTCCAACAAAACACTTCCCTTTTCTATTAAAAAACCACTTTTACCCTTACTTTTTCATACTCTACCTATCACATCATACTTTTTCTCTAATAATCTATCCATCACATCTTACTTTTATCCATCACATCAGGGACAAAATTGGAAATCAACTACTCCTTCCGTCCCCCATAGATCTTCCTAATAGCCCTTTTTCTTTGTCCACAATAGATCTTCTCATTTCATTTTTTAACAATTAAAATACCACAACTACCCCCACTTACTTTATTTATTACACCTCACCCACCTCATTTAATACACTCCATCCATTTTTCATTAAGGGTATTATGGTAAACTTTCACCTTTTTTCAACTCTCCTTAAAAACCACCAAAAGTCAAAATGAGAACATCTTAGGGGGACGGAGGGAGTATAATTTAACACTTCCTTATTTNCCATAGATCTTCCTAATAGCCCTTTTTCTTTGTCCACAATAGATCTTCTCATTTCATTTTTTAACAATTAAAATACCACAACTACCCCCACTTACTTTATTTATTACACCTCACCCACCTCATTTAATACACTCCATCCATTTTTCATTAAGGGTATTATGGTAAACTTTCACCTTTTTTCAACTCTCCTTAAAAACCACCAAAAGTCAAAATGAGAACATCTTAGGGGGACGGAGGGAGTATAATTTAACACTTCCTTATTTTTGCCCCAAATCAAAATGGGAAGAGTTTTTCCAAACGGAGGAAGTATTAGATACCCTCAATTTTATAGAAATAACTTCGATGTTCCTCTTATTTTTAAAAATATACCTTAGGTACCTTAAAATATCTAAAAACTTGCTCTGGATAAATTTTTTCTTTTTTTCCTTTATTATTATTGTTGTTGTTGTTATTGAAGTATTATTATTAGTAGTAGTATTATTCTTAGATTATTATTATTATTACGGAGTACTCCCTCCGTCCTATAATGATCTTCCCGGTTCGCAAAACGAAGAAAAATCCCAAGTTTTTTCAATCTATTTTATTTAAATATTGGTATAGAAATAAAAAATAAAACATACATATTTAAAAACTACACCAAAAGTTCAACAAAACAAGTGGTGACAAGAATATTTTATTTTATCATATAGGTCATAAAAAAATACAAATAAACATAAATTCCCGTGACGTTGGAATAGTGCTCTGAGAAGATCATTATAGGACGGAGGGAGTATTATTTTGTGATTATTACTATTATTATTATATTATTACTGTGATTATTATTATTATTATTATTATTATTATTATGGAGTATTATTATTACGGAGTATAATTTTACTTATATTATTGGAGTCCATATTATTTGTTGACTCCATAGTCGTCAAAATAAATTCTATACCCTTCAAACGTATTCAAGCATGGATTATATATTATTGGAGCTCAGTTTATGGCGTAAGTAAACGGAGTAACAATAATCTTTTAACTACAATTAATTAATTAATTAATTAATTAAAGATTTGTGTAACTGGTCCGAAATGATAATGACTAGTCATTGTTAACCAGACCTTCAGTATAATCCACGCCGCTCTTAGCCACCCACCGGTCGTCCTCCGTCTCCAGAAGCTTCTTCACCGTGAAATCGGCGGCGACGGAGCTTTTCTCAACCTTATGATACCCTTTCCACTCCACTCTGTCCCCGGTCTTAGATCCCGGCCCGCGATTGTCGTACTCCCCGAACCACAGCGTGTCCAGGTAATCGTCGCCGGACCACGGGTGCCAGCCGGCGGGATCTATGTGGCCGGCGATGTACGACTCCATCACCATCGTCCGCGAGTATTTCTTCCACGGCCGCCCGAGAAACGTCTGGATCTCGTCGGACACGGGTTTCAGATCTTGACCCGGCACGATCCCGCAGGACTGGAGCGAGATCCCGGTGTTCTGGTTCTGGTCGACCCGGCCCTGCGCCGTGACCATGTTCTGCTGCGACGACATGGGCTTTCTGGCGACGATGTTGCAGTTCTGGAAGACGGCGGCGGCGTTGCCGAAGATGAAGTCGACGGTCCCTTTGATGGTGCTGTCTCGGTAGAACTGTCGCTGGGAATGGGCGTAGAGAGTGTCTTGGTACCCCACGATCTGGCAGCGGTTTATGATGGATTTGTCGCCGCCGACACGGAGAGCCACCGCCTGGTGCTTCTTCGCCCCCGCCGTGTTCCAGACAGAGAGGTCTTGCAGGATGAAGTTGGCGCCTTTGGACGCTGCATCAATTTAAAATTAAGTGGCCATAAAAAGATTAAAAAGAATAAAAATATATTTTCAAACTCCCATACATTATTCTCAAAATATATTCGTGTAATATATTTATTGAATTTGATTTTTTCAAGATAAATTAGACAAAATTGCACTTCAATTGCATTACATATAAGGAAAATGAAATAAAATTTTATAAATTTTCAATAAGATAAATTTAAAAAAAGCATTTTTATATCAAGTATTTCGTACTATTTTGGTTTGAGTAAAGTTCAAAATTACTTTTATTCGACTCAAAAAAATCAAAATGACGATTGTTCACATATCACAATACACTAGTGCGGAAACAATACTTTTTAAGTCTATAATCTCAAAATACACATTATTTCTCTTTTATTGAATTGAGAAATTGTTTTAGAATTATTTTAGATGCTTTAAATAAAACACAAGTGTTTTTAAACAAGTGGGTCAAAAATGAAGGTTGAACTATTTAAACTTCAAAAAGGAGAGGGAGTAAATTTCATTTTAGAAAACAATGCTTTTAAAAAATCTTTAATTACGTACCGAGGGTGAAAGAGTTGAAAGTGGTGTAATTGTCGACGTAGTTATGACTTCCGGTGAAGATGGTCGCATTCGCGCCGTCGCCGACGATCATCACATTCTTCTTGCCGGGACCCACTTCCACGTACTCGTTATAAACTCCCTCCTTCACGTAGATCACCACCCTCTTCTCCCGCCCCTCCTCCACCGCATCCACCGCCTTCTTCAGCGTCGAGAAGTCTGCGTCGTCGTCTTTCGACACCACGAAGTCGGCCTTGATCTCCTTCCCCTTCCGCCGGAGAAGATCCCGGTCTCTCGACCTCACCCATTTCGGACACTTCCTCCCAACCTTAGGTTGCCGCCGCCGCCGCAGCCGGTGAGTACTCCGTGACCCTGATCAATTACCATCATCAATAGTGTAATTAATACGCACTCCTCCCATCTACCTAATTTATAGCCTAATTTTACGAAAATGTTTAAAAAAATGTTAAAACATAAATAGTGTGTGACAATTTTAAAAGATTAATCGAAAGACTAGAATCTATCATTGGTCTTTCAAATTTTAAAAATTTATAAATAATACATCCAGTATTCATAAACTTCTAAATGTAATCTTTTAAGTTTCAAAAGTTCGGTCTGAAACCATATGTGCATATAGACTTAGGTTAGAAACCATAATTTAGCCCTAAATGTTAACTGATTGTTAGAAACCATAATTTAGCCCTAAATGTTAATTGAGGAAATTATGGAATTGAGTTATATAAATTGAATCATAATTTAGCCCTAAATGTTGATTGAGGGGATTAATAAATTAAAAGTGAAGAAACCAAATACGCAATACTTTTAAACAGCTTCCATTCCGCGTCGTCGTTTTGGTCTCTAAAATCAGCAAGAATTGCTAAAGCTACTCTGGCTTTGGAGATCAGATCCTCAAGAACTCGTTTCGCCGGAGATTTCTCCGGCGATGTCAAGCCGTCAGTGCACGTGACGTGATTGGTAAGGACGGCGCTCAGGGAAGTATGCGCGTCGGCGGCTCTTACCCGCCGCCGCCGACTGCTCTTCGTACCAGCTGCCGCTAGAGCTTTGATCGCGTCTTTGACTTGGTCAATTGACAGATTGATCAGCTCGGAGCAGTCAGCAAAAGCCATTCTCTCCCTCGGGTGGCCGGAATAACTGCCGGCGACCTTACTGAATCTCGACGTTGCGGCGGTCATGTGATCAGCGTAAGCCGTCAAGAATTGCCGTAGCAAAACAGGGGAAGAGACGTTTGTCGTCGTAGTACTAGTCATCCCGGCGGCCTCCAGATGGTTGGCGATGATGGCCTCGCATGCATTGGGGTCGGTGGCGCGGCGGCAAAATCTTGTCGGAGATACATCGGCGGCCGCCGTCGCTAGCGTTGTGATGAGAAGGAACAAGGTTGTCCACGTGGCAAAAGAAGTGTTATTGCCAGTAGCCATTATATTGTTTCTCAGGTTAATTAGTAAAACCAAATCCTTGCTCAATATTGTTACTCGTCCTATATATTGGCCATTTGGCCCGCTATCTAAAGTAAGGGTTTTAATTATTGATTTCTTAGAACATTTCTATTTAATTTTTTTGTTTTTGACAAAACATTTTTATTTTATACTCTCTACCTCTCCAATTAGATTATAATTTTTTTCTCATCTCTCGATAATTTTTATTTATTTATGCGATTTTGTTAAGTATTTGATTAAATAAAATATTCTTGTCATCTTTTTTTATAGAACTTTTAACGTAATTTTTTAATATGTAATTTTTATTTCTTATCAATATACTGATTTGTAAATAAAATGATTTCAAAAATTGAGATATTTCTCCCCGTAAACCTCAATTTGTAATTGGGAATAGAGGGAGTATTAAAATATTATTTCTATCTCTACTTTTTGTCACTTTGCCTATCAAATCATATTTTTCAATCTATCCATTACATCAATTTTTACCTATCATATCAATGACAAAATTGGAAACTTAATCACAAATATACACTCTTTATTTCTTCTAAAAGTCAAAATATGAATCGGTTTATAAACGGAAGAAGTATTTTTTAAGTGTTTTAAGTAATGTTCACATATCAAATTCTATTTTATTTTTAGATATTTTTACTCAATACTTCCTCAGTTTCGAATAAATTGTCTCATTTTGGTTTCAAAGAATTTTAGAAAGTGTTGTAAAGTAAAAAATGAATGGTCAAAATTTTGATTAAATTGAAGAAAAGAAAATTGTAGGTCACCTATTCTTACTTTATTAGGAAAATAAAAAATGATATAATTACTTAGAGACAAACTTATAAGAAAAATGAGATAATTAATTCAGAATAGAAAGATTATTTTATAATATAAAATAGTTAAGACATTTCTTATTTGTAGTCTTTAATTTTTTTTATTTGTATTTTCAAGTACACCCCATATCAAAAGACTTGGATTAGTTATTCAAAAAGGGTTAACGTCACAGCTTGTTTGCACATTTGTCGGGTCTTTTATTTCAATGTACTCCGTATTAGACAATCACAAAATCATCTATGAACTACTTTGACTATTAAAAACTCTATTTACATATAAGTATAAAATATAAAAATATAATATATATTTTTGAATATATTTCAAATAAACGTATTGATGTTAAATTTATATCGTAACACAATACTCCATGTTTTTTATATCGTGCGATCAAAGTTTAAAATTGGTAACAATGAAAAGTTAAACATAAAGAACAATACGGGAGGCGGAAGTACTAATTTTTTTTCATTTCTAAAAAACACACATGTATAATTGAATTGATTTGAGAATAAAGTCAATTTAAATTAAATATAATTAATCATCGTAAATCAAAATGTGAACTGATTTGAAGACACGTGGAGTACAGTTTTATTTTTAAAATACACATCAATTATCAAATAATATGCTGAGTGAAATAACCATTGTTATGTCGATTGATAAAATAAATTATTTTTGTCATTTATTATTTTATAAATAATATTTTTATATCTATACAAATCTTTAAATAAAATAAATTTAAAAATTTAAAATTTTATTTCAAAGTACCTAATATGATGCTTTGTTAAGATGAAGGGAGTATAGTACTTTTGACACACTCCTGAACATCTGGTTTGTTTGTTTGGTTTGTTTTAAAGTGAAAGTATTACGTGTGTGAAGATTTGTCATGAAAGATGCATGCATGGTGGAGTTATGACAACAAAAGAGTAATATCCCTCCTAATTTAAAAATTCATGTTTGGTTAGTTACAATGATTTTTTTTTTTTAAAATAAGATAATTAAAAAATTATGTAGACAAGAGAGAAAATATGAATCACAAAAATTGTTTCTAAAGTGAACACATGATTACTTTTTAGAGAGATGTGTTGATGTGGCCGTAAAGTCCCCATATAAAATGTGAATCTTCTCATAATTCTCCATAAGCTCATATATACATGAATCTTCTTATTATTTTTAAAAAGTCCATTGCATAAAAGTATTTTATGTGTGAAAGTCAATAACATGAAGGGTGGTTTCTATTATCAATGTCCGTTACAGTGTTCCGTTCGTAAAATTGACGAGTTCTACCCCGACCTCCTAATCTCTAGGCAAACCTTCCCACCCCCCCCCCCCCCCCCCCCCTTGACCCTAACCTACCCCTACTCCCTCCAATAATTGCACCCTCCAAGTTTATTTGATTTTGGCATAAAAAATTGAATCTTAAGTTAAATAAATTTGGAGGGTGAGGGTGCAGTTGAAGGATGGAGGTGGGTTCGGGTTGGGACGCGGTGGAGGATTTGGGGGCCTTGTGCAAATGAACCAGCAGACCATGGGTTTGGGCGGGCTTACTCGCATTGCCTTTAATTTAGGTGGATGGACATTTTTGGATAGTGAAAGTCATATTTAGATATCCCTTAAAAATGAGATATAGTCAAATCGGAAAGAGCAATTTATGACAGAGAGTAATTAGTAATATATAAATTAAAATAAATAAATTTTACCCGGTTATAAACACAGAAAAATACCCATTAAATCCATGAAACTAGCTAGCTAGCCATAGTATGAAAAATGTGAATAAGTGATGCATTAACATGACCGCCAAAATGAACTACAGCCCAGCTTTAGGGGGTGCCAAAGAGAGCCCCCTAATTGTGCAGGACACGCATTTTTCGTGTTTTCATGGTTAAGATAATAAGATTATGAAGATACTACGAAGGCTCTGATTTTGTACGTGGAATTCAAACAATAGAATTAGAATTTAAGACAAGAATTTCAATTTTGTTGTTTGATAGCACAAAAATATGTGAATTGAAAACTGGTAGTGACAAAAATAAATTTGAAATTGGAAATTTCAATTCCAATTCTGTTAATTTCGTGTAACAAACAGACCTTAAATATAATCTCTCTATGCAGTCCGGGTATACCCCGGAGTATATATTAACCAAAGCATATCAACAATTAAACTTGATACTAATTTTGAGACATAAAAAGTAGTGCTATCTTAGTTGTAATCAAGGAGGATTTAGTTCATAATTTTGTGCATGGTCGGATTCATTACACAAACAGTTTTTTTTGAAAGCCATTTACTTTCATTAGTCTATTTACTTCTGAAGAGTACAATGATAAAACGAAGGCCAAGGCTCATTTCATACTCCCTCGTTCTCAATTTAAATGACGTGTTATAATGTTTGACTAAAATTATTTTATATGAAAAAACGATGTGCAATTTAAAAAATAAAATTACATATTTCATATTTTAAATCTACATCAAAAGATTTACAAAATACAATATCACCATTGGTATCAAGTTTATAAGTGGCGGGCTTTGACACATAGGATGAAATATGAAATTTCTTTGGAGGGCATAATCGGCCATAGCACGAGATAACTATCCCATCACTAACACCAAAGCCAGAGTGGATATTATGTTTTCTTCAGCTCCATTACAGTGTTATGCATTCATAGTATGAATAAATAAAAGGGCATTGACACAAAAAGGAATCAAAAGCTTGAAATTGCAAACTGCAGAAGCCTCTAGGGGAGGCACAATGACTGTAAACGAAACACCAGAACACAGATTTATTATTCATGGCAATCACAAAAGTCAAACAACTACATTTCAACACAAGAAAACATCAAAACCTCGCCATCATAATGGCAGGCAAAACACTTACAAAGTTCACAACATGTAAAAACAACACAAACAAACATAAACAACAAACAGTTCAATGACAACACAACACAACATTTTGCCATGGCCAATCAAACAGATAGATTCAGAAACCACCACGAAGACGGAGGACAAGGTGAAGGGTGGACTCCTTTTGGATATTGTAGTCAGCCAAGGTCCTTCCGTCCTCCAATTGCTTCCCTGCAAAGATCAACCGTTGCTGGTCTGGTGGGATCCCCTCCTTGTCTTGGATCTTCGCCTTGACATTGTCAATCGTATCAGAGCTCTCAACCTCCAGGGTGATGGTTTTACCCGTCAAAGTCTTCACAAAAATCTGCATTCCACCACGAAGCCGGAGAACCAAGTGCAGTGTAGATTCCTTCTGGATGTTGTAATCCGCAAGGGTACGTCCGTCCTCAAGCTGCTTTCCAGCAAAGATCAATCGCTGCTGGTCTGGGGGAATCCCTTCCTTGTCCTGGATCTTAGCCTTCACGTTGTCAATGGTGTCTGAGCTCTCAACCTCGAGGGTAATCGTCTTGCCAGTCAGTGTCTTCACAAATATCTGCATACCTCCTCTCAAACGGAGGACCAAATGCAGGGTGGACTCCTTTTGGATGTTGTAATCTGCAAGGGTCCGGCCATCTTCAAGCTGCTTCCCAGCAAAAATCAATCGCTGCTGGTCTGGGGGAATGCCTTCCTTGTCCTGTATCTTCGCCTTCACATTATCAATGGTGTCCGAGCTTTCAACCTCAAGGGTGATGGTTTTGCCAGTCAGGGTCTTGACAAAGATCTGCATCCCACCCCTCAAACGGAGGACCAAATGGAGGGTGGATTCCTTCTGGATGTTGTAGTCGGCAAGGGTGCGGCCATCCTCAAGCTGCTTCCCTGCAAAGATCAGCCTCTGCTGGTCTGGGGGGATGCCCTCCTTGTCCTGGATCTTTGCCTTTACGTTGTCAATTGTGTCAGAGCTCTCCACCTCAAGGGTGATAGTCTTGCCGGTTAGGGTTTTGACAAAGATCTGCATCCCACCCCTCAAACGGAGCACCAGGTGGAGGGTTGACTCCTTCTGGATGTTGTAGTCAGCGAGGGTGCGGCCATCCTCAAGCTGTTTGCCGGCAAAGATCAGCCTCTGCTGATCTGGGGGGATCCCCTCCTTGTCCTGGATCTTAGCTTTGACATTATCGATGGTATCTGAACTCTCAACCTCGAGGGTGATGGTCTTTCCGGTTAAGGTTTTGACGAAGATTTGCATCTGTTCAGATCCAAAATACTAATTAGAAACACAATTAAACGAATCACATATGCAGTGAAGAACAACATAATCAATCAAAACTTCATGAATCAGGCAAAAAAGATCAAACTTCATCAACCAAGCAAAAATATCAGAAATTTATAAATCAGGAGACAAATTCAAAGCTTTATGAATCAGGCAACAAATCCAAAACTAAATAGATCGGGCAAGAATTCAAAACTTATTCGGGCAACATATTCAAAACTTCATAAATCGGGCAACAAATTCAAAATTCATAAATCAGGCAAGAAATCCAAAACTTCCGTCTATTTATCGCCAGATCTCATTGTTTCTTCCAGAAAGATATAATTATAATCTTAACAATCAGTATAATAGATGAAATCAAGAAAACCGACGATCTATGATTTATAAACATGAGAAACAAAAGAAAGATTAAACAAGAAATTGATACCTTGATTGAGCAGATGAATCTGATTCTTGGGAGGAGCGAAGGATTTCAGAGGAAGAAAATCGAAAGTATATCTAAATCGTAACGCGATGATGTTGAAAGCGGTGGAGAATGGCTGGCTTTTATAGTCCACGAATCCGAGTTAGGAGGCAATTGCTACCCCAGCTCCACCAATGGGCAAACGACACGTGTAAACAAGGAACCCTCGCGGCTACCTCTTTGTTTGGTGGGAGAATAATTGGTCACGCGGCCCATTGACTGAAAAATGATAGATCTAGAAGCACGAAAAAATCAAAAAAATAAATACCCACCGTTTTAATTAATCAACCCATTATTTCCCCCAATTGTATTTCGTATATTTTATAATAAAAAAAGTGGTTTTAATTTTTTTTTTAAGATTTAAATTTTTAATTACTCTTGGAATGTTTGGTTAGGAGGGAGGGGAGGAGAAGGAAAGGATGGAAGAAGATTCCTATCACCTTTGTTTATTAGTTATTTTTTAGTTTATTTTTATTATTATTAATTTATAATTAACATTATTTTGTGTATTTTTATTTGTATATATTTGTATTCATTTATTTTATTTATTTAATAATTTATTTTAATTTTTATATATTTTTGTAACATTATTGTTTTTTCGCAATATTATTTTTTTGTGACAATGATAAGAAATGCTTGATGAAAAAAGAAGAAGAGAGGGACGGAGAATCCCTTTGATTTGGATGGATTAGTTTGGAGGAGAAGAGAGGGAATTGATGTTAAAATTTTGAAAGTGTTTGCCTATGTATTTTTTAACTAAACAAGGGAAGTGACACATCAATATACATAACACAGAACTCGGCCCAATATTTAGTCAAACTTGTTCGAGTCACCTAATTTGACGAGAGACTTTTCTTCTGATGAGTTAGTAATATCCTTCACGTCAATCCTGACGGAGAATTTTTTATTTGATGATCCGGCCTCAGAGTTGCTAAATTATTGATCTTATTTTCACCCAATTGATCTTTAATGTTGTTGTTGTTATTGTTATTATTATTATTATTCAACGGCATTATAGCTGTTTGGAGGTGGGCCCCTAGCATTTTCAGTCAGTCAAACCTTTGACGCCTTGCTAATGTCTCGGGGCGGTGTTTAACGCTCTAACAGCGTTAAACGTGTGAAAACACTTCCCCGTCGTCATCCAATTTCTAGTGCTATAAACCAATAGTCATATTTAGAAGTTGTTTGTTGGTTGTCTATTTCAATTGTTTTGAATGGCCGATGGTTTTAGATTCTTTGACTAGTTGGATATATTAATTGCTCGTGAGAAATATTTGATAAAAATTCAATGTTTATACGGAGTATACGACTATGATATTTCAAGTCATGACAACGTGATTGGAAATCTTGCACACTTAAGATAAGGATGTTAAATATATTAATGGGCCTCTTTTTTATTTTACACGGAAAGTATCAAAATAATGTGAGAAAAGTATCAAAGTATTGGATTGATATATTCCAAATTAGAAATATATCAAAACTATCGTAGAGACTATTTAATTGACTTTGGATTGGTCAGGTCGATAATGAGCAAACGGGCTCTTAATGGATTTCGGATATTCCCCAAACGGGCTCTTATTTGAGTTTGGATCGGTCAAGTCTAAAACTAGCAAACGTCCAAATTCGACTCGATCCGGTTCATATTTTAATTGATTTCTAGTCGGATTCGAGTAATGTAAGATTGGGATCAGTGGGCAAAAGTTCGGGTTGGGTTTTGGGTTTTGTTAAATCTGTGTTTCCAATGAGAGGGAAGAAGAGAAGGGAAAGTGCAGAGTGATCGGAGGTGGGAATGGCGAAAACGCCGATAGGTTGTGAACCGGTGGTGGGGTCGCTTGCACCGTCGAAGAAGAAAGAGTACAGGGTTACCAACAGGCTCCAAGAAGGCAAACGCCCCCTGTACGCCGTCGTTTTCAACTTCATCGACTCTCGTTACTTCAACGTCTTCGCTACCGTCGGCGGCAACCGAGTAACTCCTCCTCCCTTCCCTTTGCACCTCCCTCTTCTCACGCTTTCAGAAATTTCGATTCTTTATTTCAAACACAAAAGCCGTTCTGTTTAACCTGAAACTAGGATGGAAATGCAACCATACACAAAACCATGAGGTAAAATTGGTAGATTTTATATGTTGGTATTCATCTTCTATATGAATTAATTAAAAATGTTGGTGAAATTTCACTACACAAGGAGCATTGGGAATTCAACAACAACAACAACCCAGGTGAATCCCAGGGTCAATTGGGAATTCGAGGTCTCTTTTTTAGTGTTTTTTTTAAATTAAATTTTTCAATTTTTTAATACAGGATTTTTGTACAGAAGTGTTTTCATGAAAAGTATGCATAGAGTATATTGTTCTTGTTGTTGCATTGTTTTAAGGGCAAGTTCCAATGGAGCAAAAAGTGTCATTTTTTGAAGTTTTGGGAAGTATATGCAACACTTTTTGAAAAGATTTATTGCGCGCGCGCGTGTGTGTCATAAGTAATAGAGGAATTGATAGAGTAAGCTATATGAACAGAAACAAAAACACAACAAAGAAGAGCCTAATAGAGAGGACATTATTGTAAGCTCCATCATCTCCGATGGAGCCAAAATTTCACCATTTCTTGGCTTTGGGGTGTGATGGAATAAATCAAAATGGATCTCTAAACTGTCTGCGCTTCTTTAATTAATGAAGTAGCAGTTAGTCAAGCAATGCAACTTTCGACGTTGAGCCGAGGTCTCTTTGGAAACAGTCTCTCTACTTTCGAGTAGGGGTAAGGTCTGCGTACACACACCCTCCCCAGACCCTACTCTTGTGGGATTTAACTGGGTTGTTGTTGTTGTTGTATCTGTCATTCCTCCTGAACCACACCATCTTCTTCATTTTCCTTCGCTCTCTTAATCCAAGGATGCTCTGTAAAACAAGTAAACAACAGTTCAAATTGAATACACCCACATGTTCTATAAAACAAGTAAAACACACACACACAGTTACTTAAGATGCCAACTGCTGTGAGGTGGAGATCACGCCTTGTTTGGATCATCTGCTTCATCAAATCAATGGCTTCATCCGATACATCGGGCCACGGGGACCTATTGTAATCTGGAGCTCCCTTGCCGATCTTTACTTTAATATCCCGTGCCTTTGCTGCATCGAAAGGAAGCGTGCCGTAAAGAAGTTCATACAATATAACCCCTGCGCTCCACACATCAGTTTTTGGTTCATAATTCTCTCTCAAGACCTCAGGTGCTGTATACACCAAGCTCCCTATGGGATAATGAAAATATTCGCCTGAAATTTGATAAAATTTAGTATTTTAAATGACCCACACATAAACATTATAGAACAAATATATTTGGTCATTTTTGTTTACCAGGCTCATACGTGACTGCAAATTCAAAGTCTATTATCTTCACACTTGCACAATCATTATCAATTTATCACTTGCAAACATAATGTTAGCGGGCTTAATGTCCTGATGGAATAGACCGTTTTCGTGGCAAATTTGGCACAAGAAATAAACATGCCATCATATTATGTTCCATAATCTCATTTATGTTCCATAATCTCATGTAATGACAAAAAACACAATATAATTCTTCATTAAGCCCGGGTTGAATAATTATATTGTGTTTTTCGTCATTACATAAGATTATGGAACATCATCTGATGACATGTTTATTTCTTGTGCCAGATTTGCCACGAAAATGACATGATCCATCGGGACATTAAGCCTGCTAACATTATGTTTGCAAGTGATAATGATTGCGGAGGTGTGAAGATAATAGACTTTGGATTTGAGGTCACGTTTGGTAAACAAAAATGACCAAATATATTTTCTTCTATAATGTTTATGTGTGGGTCATTTAAAATACTAAATTTTATCAAATTTCAGGCGAATATTTTCATTATCTCATAGGGAGCTTGGTGTATACAGCACCTGGGGTGTTGAGAGAGAATTATGGACCGAAAACTGATGTGTGGAGCGCAGGGGTTATATTGTATGAACTTCTTTACGGCACGCTTCCTTTCGATGCAACAAAGGCACGAGATATTAAAGTAAAGATCGGAAAGGGAGTTCCAGATTACAACAGGCCCCCATGGCCCGATGTATCGGATGAAGCCATTGATTTGATGAAGCAGATGATCCAAACAAGGCGTGATCTCCGCCTCACAACAGTTGGCATCTTAAGTAACTGTGTGTGTGTGTGTTTACTTGTTTTATAGAACATGTGGGTGTATTCAATTTGAACTGTTGTTTACTTGTTTTACAGAGCATCCTTAGATTAAGAGAGCGAAGGAAAATGAAGAAGATGGTGTGGTTCAGGAGGAATGACAGATATAGCTTACAATAATGTCCTCTCTATTAGGCTCTTCTTTCTAGAGCTAGAGTGTTCTTCCTTGCTGCAGTTGACCTTCCTTATCGCATAATTAAAAAAAATTGTAAAAGACAATCATGGATGGATCGTAGCTTACTTGTATATATGAAAGTAACTCATGGTTGCATTTTCAGGTGACTGTGTACCAATGCTTGGAAGGGGGAGTCATTGCTGTGCTACAATCTTACATTGATGAAGATGTATGCAACTTGAGCCTTCTAAGTCTTATCTATTAATATGGATTGTATTTAACATTTTCCTTTTGCATGTTCTCTGTCCAGAAAGATGAATCATTTTATACTGTCAGTTGGGCATGCAATATTGATGGGACCCCCTTCTTGGTTTCCGGGGGATCGAATGGAATTATCCGTGTTATTGATTCTGGCAATGAGAAGATACACAAGGTGTTCTATGGAACTCTTAGCTCTATGCTGTCATAGTTTAGAAAGGTTAATGCTGTTCTTGTTTACTTAAGTACAAAACATTCATCTGGGCATATGTAAGTGCCAGTGCTGTTATGTAGGATCTAGGATCCACATGTTAGTTAATAACATTGAATGCATTAAGATGTTCCAAAAATCATGCCATGAGCCTGTTAATCTGGTCCATTTATTCAGGCAGCATTTGGAACTCTGAGAATAGTGGGGAAAAGAAAAAAACGCTTTTTAAAAATGTTTAATTTATTGTTTGGTTTTAGCTTAGAAAATGTGTAAGAAAGCCAAATTTGATTAAAACTTCAAAAAATTAACAAGTACTCAGCAAGCAGCTGAGTACTTAAAATCGATTTATTTAAATCTAAGCAAAAAAAAGTTCCACCACATCTCCTTTTTATTTTTTTCCCTCAGCAATCAGCATTATCCAAATTCCAAAATATACATCTGGTGATATGTTTCTTTTGTAACTATGCAGAGCTTTGTTGGACACGGAGACTCAATTAATGAAATTAGGACGCAACCACTAAAACCATCACTTGTTGTCTCTGCAAGCAAAGTATGATTTCTTTGTCTTTGCTCCTCTTGAATGTAATGTGAAGTAAATTTGTTACTCTTTTGTCTATATGGAGAAAGTGAATGTCCTCAATATGTTTTTCATGTTTTGATTACATGCGCACATGTATGCATGGTCTTCTATTTGAAAAATATGTGTGAGCCAGGATGAGTCTGTTCGGCTGTGGAATGTTCACACTGGAATATGCATATTGATATTTGCTGGTGCTGGTGGCCATCGCAATGAAGTCCTCAGTGTGGTAAATTACTATTCCAGCACCCGATATGCATTTTTAACTTCCTATATTATGTCACAAGAACTTTAATCATGTGATGCATGTAGGACTTTCATCCTTCTGATATATATCGCATTGCTAGTTGTGGGATGGATAATTCTGTTAAGATCTGGTCTATGAAAGGTGATATATTCAATGGTTGTGTCAGGAAATAATTCACTTGTTTTAATAGTCCAAGTGCTGAAAATGATGAATGACCCTTGCAGAATTCTGGCCTTATGTGGAGAAATCATTTACTTGGACTGATCTTCCATCAAAGTTCCCCACAAAATATGTGCAGTTTCCTGTAAGAAGTTACCATTATATGTTCTTTCCTTCTTTTCTTAGCGCTTATTCCTAAACACGATTATACGGAGACACTGGGTATATAATTTTGCTGTTGCTGAGCTTACCTTTTATTGATTCAGATGCTCATAGCTTCCATCCATACAAACTATGTTGATTGCACCAGGTGGCTTGGAGATTTTATCCTGTCAAAGGTAAATTAACTGGCTTGTTTTTCTCATTCTACAAATCAGCATAACAAGAAATAGATGTTATTCGTTACCAAATGTTCTCCTTTCATAATATTCATCAAATTTGGCTGTTTTTGTCAATTTACTGAGCGGGTGCTTGAACTCAGATTTTGTTTAGAATTACAACTGGACTGAACCTATTCTTTTTGGGTTTATGAATTTGCAAGCTGCAGCCGTGTTTATCTGAGAGAATCATGCAATATCATTGTTAAACTACTATTATCATGATTTTAATCAATTTCCTTTAATTTAACATGCTAGGTGTGTGTGCTTGTGTGTGTATACTGAAAATATTAAGTTTTACTTTTATCATATGTTTTGTGCATATATCCATCAACACTGTGGCATTTGTTTCCAGAGTGTTGACAACGAGATTGTATTATGGGAACCAAAAATGAAAGATTCCCCAGGCGAGGTTAGTGTTTTTTTTTAGATTTTGTTTTCTTTTTCTGTTTGAGTGTTTGGGAGATTCTTTCTGGAAATCCTTTCTGTGGAATGATCGTCTTGTAGGGTACAGTTGACATCCTTCAGAAGTATCCTGTCCCAGAGTGTGACATATGGTTCATCAAGTTCTCGTGTGATTTCAAATATAAATCGGCTGCTATAGGTATGTATTATGGAAGTATCATTTACCATTTCGGTGTTCATCGGAGACAGTACCGTGGTGATCCCACAGTTTATCAGCAATATGAGGTTGCCCTACGGCTGACCTCTTCGTTCTGTATAGCACTATAGCCCATTGATGATCCTCAGGGACGGTCTTTGGGCTTGAGTCGAACTTTAAAGAAAAAAGTCTCTTACTTTTTTCTCTAAAGCAAACTTCTACGAGGGACAAAACCCTCTTTAGTGATCATTGCTGTCCTGAAAGATGCTTGGCTAGGCATCTGTTGCAGGTAGGATTAAGATTTACATGCACACATCCTCCCGAAACCCTACTTTTTTTGTGGGTTCTTACCGGATTATTTTTGTGAATACTTGTCTTGGATACTTCAGTACTTGTGTTTCTGCACAAGTTTTCATTTGATTTTTTCAATCTATAAAAGGGAATAGAGAAGGAAAGATCTACCTTTGGGATCTGCAAACAAGCCCTCCAACTNTTGCCCCCCCCCCCAAATCAATACCCTTCATGTTTTACATATAAGGTGAGATTTGTTTTCTCCTTCTTCAGGCTATGTCACGGTCAATCAAAATCTACAATCAGACAGACTGCGGTGTCTTATGACGGGAGGTAACAGACTCTAATTGTCCTTTTTTAGCATTTAAGAAGCGGCGTAATGGGATGAAGGGGAAATGTGATTATGTTTTTGTTTCTATGTTCAGCACCATTTTGAGCTGCTGTGAGGACGGAACTATATGGCGCTGGGACGTAGTGGCAAGCTCTTGAGATGCCTGTCTGTCTTTAGTTGTCTGAACACTTTTGCTGCTTTGGTTCATTATTGTTATGACTGTATCTTTGAATGGGAAATTAGAGTGAAGTTTATATGAATTAAGTCTCTTATCATCTGCCTTCGTTTTTGTGATCACTATCTAATATCCGCCAGTTTGTCAATAATAAACATATGCTATATCGTGGAATCCACGCGAGTTTACCCACAAGTCCATATTGGTTTTATACAGCCCGCGGACCTATATATTTTTGCGTGGATTCCACCAGACACCAACACATGTGTTTTTTTTGTAGAACTCGGCCCCGTTTGGCGATTGGAGACATGTTTGGCGGGTCCACCTGTTTTGGCATGCTCCGAAACGGAGCAGCAGTAGCCTAGCTTCCATCAAACAATTGTGTAAAGAAGTGAATGAGTGAGTTGTACACAAATAGAAAATGACTTGTCCCTAAAATGAATTTCCCAACAACCTGTAGATGCAAAAAGAAGAGAACCAGTCCTTTTCCACTCTGAACATTGCTCTTTCAAAGCATGGAAACCACATTTTTTTAAATAAAAAAAAAGGTGTTAAAACAGGATTAAATCAATTCAATAACCAGCCAAGGTCAGGTTCAAACAAAATTCTTTTTAATTCCAAGTATTTAGGTTAGATTGTGTTCCCTAATTCAAATTAACCTGCATGCTAAGCAAGGTTGGTTATTAGGTGAGTGACAGTAACTCCATAGCTAGAGGAGACAAACACCATATATCTACAATCTACCTATCCCTGAGAGAATTGAAGAAGAAAACCAAAGAGAGATCAAAATAACAACCAGAATGCAGCTTCACATGATCTCGCCGAGCTGCCTGAAGCAGGCACGGCTTCTTCCTCCGGCTTCTAGAGGGGTGAAGGAGTTCATGGGAGCGAAGGTCGTTGGGGCTGCGGGGCCCACCCGAGTGTCGTACCGTGTCCTCGCCACGCTCTGCCTCCTCGCCGCTTTCGTGCTCTTCAGGTCTGCGTTTCTGCTCAGCGCTGCCATTCACGAGGAGGAAGCTGAGAGCAATTATAGTAATAATAATAATAACAATAGGAATAATGGTGTAGTAGGTGCTGCTGCAGGTTGCCTGGGGAGGAAAATAGGGAGGATACTACACCACCCTATTCATGATGAATCAAACCCAAAGGTATTCTGCCCCATTTCATAAGGATATTTTGGTAAACTTTCACCTTTTTTTCTTTAAATGGTTCAATTTCATGGGAGCAGGTCCCACAAGTGATATACCAAGTATTGGAAGAGCCAATGGATCAAATACTTGGGACACAAATGAGGCATCAAAGTCCTCTAACACTTGAAGACTTCATTGCTGAATACAAAGGTGATGATGATGCCAAGACCTTTGCACTCAAGCTCAAAGCCATGGTGACTCGGCTCGAGGAGACGACACGAGCCGCGAAAATCCAGGAGTACCTGTACCGCCACGTGGCGTCAAACAGCATACCCAAGGAGCTGAACTGCATTCTCCTGACCCTGGCAAACGAGCACTCGACGAACTCCAAGGCCCGCCGCCAGCTCCCGTCGCCGGAGCTCGTCCCCGCCCTCGTCGACCCCACCTCCCCCTTCCTCCACTTCGTGGTAGCATCCGACAACGTGGTCGCCGCTGCTGTGGTGGCGTCGTCGCTGGTGAGGAACTCGCTCCGCCCTCACAGGATTGTGCTCCACGTCATCACGGACCGGAAGACGTACTCCGCCATGCATGCATGGTTCTCCTTGCACCCCCTCCACCCTGCCATCATTGAGGTTTGGTTGATAACACGCAGACACTCATTTCTCTGTTTACTTTGGTTAAAAACGTTTACAATTTGATAACAATAAAAGTTCTATCATAACCATAGTAGAATAACAATTATGGTAGCACTAGAATAAAGAAAACAGATGATAATAATATCTTGTTTCTTACTAAGTTCGAAGTCATGATGAGTTCAAATCTCCTCACCGTCGCCGAGTTTTAACATATTAATAATGTCGATCTGCGTGGAACAGAAACAAATTTTTTATATGGCTTGTTAGAACTTAAAATATGAGCATCTTATGGTACAATTACGAGTTTGAATTTTTTATTACGTCTTCGATTAATTCTTTTAAAAAAAATCATTGAACGAACAATTTGACATACAAATAGCTAACGCTAAAGATAACAATCAAGCTCGACCTAACACTAAACTCTAACGTTTGGTAGGTGAAAGGGCTACACCACTTCGATTGGTTGACGAAGGGGAAAGTGCCCATATTAGAAGCAATGGAGAAAGACGAGAGAGCAAGATCGGGTTTCAGGGGCGGTTCTTCCGCTATCATGGCTAACAACAACAACAACAACAACAATAAGAACAAGGCGGAGCGGCCTAAGGTGGTCGCCGCCAAACTGCAAGCCCTCAGTCCCAAGTACAACTCCCCCATGAATCACATTCGAATCTATTTGCCACAGGTTGGTTGGGGGACTAGGGAGTATATAAACAAAGAGTCAGATGTATCAGGGCATAGATCTTTTGACAGGGTCCTCGATGTCGTACGAAAGTCCTGCGATGCTTCGTTGGGTCTAAGAGAGGGTCCTATCCCCTAACTCATCCTACGAACCCACCCCCTCGCGTCTCCTCGTTGTCCTCCTGGCTCGTTATACCCCTAGCATTTTGCCAAAACGCGCGCTATAGTACAATAGAATTTCGGCAAAATGTTAAGGGCTGTGTAGGGGTAGAATGGTGTCGAATGGTGATTTTGTTGGGAGGATAGGATCTGATCTTGAATTCAAAGGAAAGTCGTAGCCTCGTAAAACCTGATTTCATATTAATTATCACGCCCGAAATTAGTGCAAAAAAAACATGAGTGTTAAAAGAGTTGTGAGGTATTCACTACGTACTCCCTTAAGTCCCTTCGTTCCTATGTATTTGTCGAGTTTGACTTTTTTGAGTCAAATTAGATGAACTTTGAGCTTCAATTAAATGAAAATTGTAATGTATATTTGTATAAAAATTAAAAGTATTTAAGCTCAAAGTTTGTCCAATTTTACTCGAAAAAATCAAACTAGACAAATACACTGGGACGAAGACAGTGTATTCTAAAACACGTGGTCATATATGACATGCAGTTGTTCCCGAGTCTAAACAAAGTCGTGTTCTTGGACGATGACATTGTCGTTCAAACCGACATGTCGCCTCTGTGGGAGATTGACATGGCCGGGAAGGTGAATGGAGCAGTGGAAACTTGCAGAGGGGATGACAAGTTTGTGATGTCCAAACGCTTCAAGAACTACTTGAATTTTTCTCATCCACTCATAGAAAATAGCTTTGATCCTGATGAATGTGCATGGGCTTATGGCATGAACATCTTTGATCTTGAGGCTTGGAGAAGAACAAATATAACCCAAACTTATCACTACTGGTTGGAAGAGGTAGGTATATATGCAATATATTTTTCCCCTTATAAAACTATATTTTCCCCGTAATAATTTATTTTTATCACGTATTGAATGCAGAACTTGAAATCGGAGTTGAGTTTATGGCAACTAGGTACACTACCCCCGGGTCTAATCGCATTCCGGGGACACGTGCACGCCATCGACCCCTTCTGGCACATGCTCGGGCTCGGCTACCAGCAAAACACAAGCATTGCACAAGCTGAAAGGGCCGGCGTCATCCACTTCAATGGCAGAGCCAAACCATGGCTAGACATTGCATTCCCAGAGCTCAGACCATTGTGGACAAAGTACCTTGACTTCTCTGATACCTTCATCCAAAGATGTCATTTTAGAAGAACTCCATGAAAGGCCATTCTTATTATGACCTGAAACCTTTTTCTCTCTTTTTGCAGCACATTTCTCTATTGGGTATATATAGAATTATCATCTTAGAATGTCTCCTATTTCCCTCCAGAATACAGAATCTTGTTTAAACATTATCTTAGCTTCTTGGTTGAGTTTTGCAAAAAAATCATATTATAAAATAAACTGAAGAACAGCATGAGCATGAACAATCATAATGTCAAAGCAATGAAGTCCTAAAAATGATTGGAAAATCTTTCTGGGTTGGCCTCTAAGGTGGGGGTGGGGATTCTTTGATACAAAAGCTAGTATCTGCTTGCACTATACAAAATACAGGGGAAGCTGTTAGGAGGGTGGGGGAAAGATTTTCTCGCATAGAATGGCACATTACGCATCTAAGAAACACACAAGGGGGAATGGAAGTTGGAGAGTACAAAAGAATCTCAGCCAAAGCTCAGGCGAGAATCCAAAAGTCGCAAGCTGGTTTGGCGCCGTGGAACCCCAATCTCACAAGCATTTACACGTGCCGCGAACCGGAGAGAGCATAGCGATTCACCAGCTGAGGCTGGATCGGGCGAGACATTCACAAACATCATGGTTTTCGAATCCCCACCCAGACATGGCTGGTCATCATCATCATATAAACAGCATGCAGCAACATAAAGAATGAGTAAGCATACGAAAAGCATTGGGAAATATATAAAGGAAAAAGTGACATGTATTATACTAGTAATTGCTAAGGTCTAAAATTGATGACACACTAATAACTGATGGACTAAGTGATATCCAGTATGCCAACAGAATTGAGGGATCAAAAATGTCATTTTCCCTAAAATATTTTTAAAAAGCTATATAGTACCTGGAGAAGATATGTGAGTTTAGAATTCCTGAAAGGAACATGCTCCTCTTTCTTTGCCAACGCAAAAATGACATCACTTAGGGATGATAAACTTTTATTGATTGCCTGCAAACAAACAAGGTATGTTTAAATTAGAAGAGATCACCAGCAATGCTATATTTTCCAATATGTTGCATTTATTGTTCACATGAGTATATAAATACCTGAGTTTCTTTGAGTCTGTCCCCCGTAGCCCCACTTCTAGATAGGCGTTCACTACCCGCAAGGTCGATAAGATTCAGAACACCTTGTACTTGTTGCTCCGTGCTCTACAACAAGAGGCCACAAGAAGGGTTCGTCACCAAAGAAAACAGTCTCTTTACTCCTTAGGTTGAAAGTAAGATATGTGTACGCATGCCCCTCAAACTAAGAGCAGTGGGATATATTTATTGGTTTACTCCTCAGTTTGGTTTGAAGTCATCAACAACAACATAATTTTTAAATGCTCAATAACAGCTATACACTGAGTATACAGAAACATTCCTACTTACTTCATTTACACCAGATATTCGAAGAGTGAACACAAAATGGCTTCTCGAAGATTGCTCATTCATTTGAGTCCTCCCAACAGACCTACAAATTTCAAAAATAATAATTACAGAAAACAATTGATTATTTTAGACCCACATTATAGCAAAAGTGTATTCTTCTAATAATACCTGCTTTGTGCTGCTCGCTCTAAAAGGTATGAAACCTCCTTGCTGCTCCGAACATCCACAATGGTCAAGTCAGACACATGTGTATTACCATGTACATCGTGTTTTATGCCATATTGTTTTCCTCCATTGTCAAAGCTTGATCGGGTTGGAGACAAAAGGTCTCGTATTGTCTCATTGTAAATTTCAAGCATTGATACCTACACAACAAAAAAGTACAATCAATAAATAGTGAAGTGAGACCTTTTTAATTGAAAATCAACTAACTGAATAAAGTATTTAGTATCCACTGTCTGACCTGCATGTCATATTTCCATCCTTGGTCTTGATAGTTTTGCCTAGTCTGAAATACTTGTTCCAACGTGCGCGGAATCAAACCTTGCTGATCCAGGGGCCGTGGATTTCCCATCATTGTGTAAGTCTTACCAGAACCAGTTTGGCCATAAGCAAATATACAGACCTGGAGAAACCCAGAACTTAAAACCATTTTCAGCAAGCAAACAATTATCACGCTTCCATGAAATTGTGACACCATAGCAGCATTAAAAATTGAGCGAAATGACAAGCTAGTTTGTTAGCTTAATGCATAATTGTGTTAAGTGATTAATAGTATACAGAGTATACTACTGCACAAATTCAGTCATAGACAAATTTAATCACGTTGGTTGATTTGCATGTTCATGTTTATGGAACACGACTACAGGTCTACAACTACCTTAACCAAGAATTTTCTATGCATGTGGAAAAAATCAATTGAAAACACAAAAAAAAAAATTATTGTCATCTCATTTTCCTTTAAAAGACGATTGTGACAGGCCTTTTTAAGAAAATTGTGACAGGGAGGGCATCGAGCGTAAAATTTTGCCTCTGTTTTTCTTGCATTGATTTATAGTTTAACTAAACCAAAAGACAATGCATTTTATACCACCAACCTCAATTAGTTTGAATAAAGGAGATGATGATATACTAGTCAAGACAAATGAATCAACCCTCACAAAATCAGTGCTTGACAAAAAAACAACGCATGGCACATGTCATATATTTACATGTCCAATTTCAACTCTAGAAGGAAATAGAATAAATAACTACGGTTAGATTCTGTTCTGCTGATTTTATACATGTAAGTGGGTAACAAGTAACATGCAAAAATTGCAGTCCATTGCCAGTGGGTTCAAAATACATGCTGAAGAGAAAATATCACCTTGTAACCATCAAGAGCACTCTGTACAAGCTGTGATATCTCGTCAAAAACATCCTTCTGTGAGGCTTCAGGCACGAAGACTTTATCAAATGTGAAAGAGTGCTTTTGCCCTTAAATAGAACAGGGGAAAACAAGAGTCAAAAAGAGGATGTTACAAGCACAAAATATTCTTCTTCTGGTGTAACTGAATACCAACCATTATGTGTCAAATCAATTCCCCGTCCAAGGGCTTCCGTAGATGTTGGAAAAGATACGACCTTTTCTGCACTAACAACATCATCAGATAATGTAGGTCGCACTCTGCAGAACACTCTTATATTGCCTTTAAGTTCCTACATCATCAGAGAAATCTTTTTGAATTATTATTCATGTCCAAAAAGAAAATTTTGCAGCACATTCATCTATATTTTTACCAGAATCGTATTGTGCAGTTTTTTACGAAGCATTTCACCATCCGCAATTTTGATTTCTGCATCTGAAAGGCGCTGACTTAACTCACTATTAAATTTCTTTAGCTTTTCGAATTCTGATTTTGCTTCCATGGAAGACATGTCAGACACCTAAAAAAGGAACATAGCCAGTAAAAAGACACATTGAAGAGTTTTAGTGGAGATAAATATATGTATTAATCCCATCCGTGTGTACCTGCAACTTTGTTTCAGACAAAGCAAGCTGTTCCTGCAATCTCCTTATTTGCTCACATTGAGAGGAACATCTCGCCTGGAAAAAATAATACAATATGTAGTTGTTGTTGACACAATGTTTTTAATCTAAAGCATGCCAAAGAAACTACCACTATGACTCCAAATTCCAAAAGGCATACCTCCAGTGCGTCAGATTTCATTGTAAGGTTGCCCAACTCCGCAACTGATTTTCCAGTGCATTCCTTGTATTTTGCCACCTCATCTTTTAAACTTTTGACTATTGATAGCTGATTGTCACGGTCAACCGTGACGTTTTGCAGATCCTTACGAAGGCATCCCACCTCAGAAGCTAAAGCTTCTTTCTGTCTTGCAGCCTCATCTTGAGCAGCCTAAAATGGAAGTAAAAAGCCCCAAAATTTAGTGAAATGAAATTAAAGAGAAGTCTATGAAAGCTGAAAAATGGCTTAGCCTAATAATAAAGTCCTCTGTTCTAACCTTAGAAGATGAAAGCTGTTCCGTCAAAGAAGTATAGCGACCCCTCAAAGTGCTGAGATTTTCCACCAGAGCAGCCTTCTCATCCTCCACACGATTGAGTTTCTCATTGGTAGTAGCATTCTCTGACTGAAGTCTGCTGCTGAATTGCTGTAAACTCGTGTTATACTCTTGTAGAACTTGAATCTGAGTACCAAAACAATTTCATTGTAAGTTATACCACCCAGATTAAGTGATAAGAATACCATAAAATCCAGAGGTTGTATCAAAATTACCTTTTGATTAGCAGTTTCATTGTCTTGCTGAGCTCTTCTAAGCTCCTCTGAGAGAGATGCTTGCTGTTTCTCAGCTGCCACTCTTAAATCTTTTTCCCTGCTAAGCGAACTCAGTGCTTCCTGGCCACCATTAAGCAATTTAATAGCAGATTAATATTACTGTTTGCTCCAATAATAAAATAAATCCATAAAGAAGAACCAAGTTTGCTAATGAACTATGCTTGCATGACTTTACCATTTTTTCTGATTCCTCCTTCTTCAAATTTTCCTGTAACACTCCAATTTGTTTCCTCAAATCAATACTGATTGCATTCAATTCTTCTTCTTTTGATTTTAATAGCATATCTAAGAGGAACACACAACCAAAAGTGAAATAAGTGAACACCTCTAATGGTCTCCTCAAGACTAACTTAGCTCATAACAGAAAGGTCATACCCAGCTCATTGCACTTAAGCTCTGCTGATTGTAGGAGACTCTTGAGTGACTCCTGCTCAGCAACAAATGCTCCTTCTAGCTGTTGGAACCACTTAATACACTGTCTAAGCCTTTTACAGTTTTCAACCGTTTGGTCCCATCTTACCTAAAATATAGCACAATGTCAGCAAAATATTATACCTATACCAATTGCTCATAAGCACGGGAGAGGAATCAGATTTATTTTTGACAGCCAAAATATATCCCCATCAATTATACAAAATACAGTAAGATAGAAAGATATTAGATCTGCTATACCTTTGTATTAAATTTGTTCTTCTGTTCTGGCCTTTGAGCAAGAATTGCTTCAACATCTTCTTTGCTGAACTCTACAACTACACAGTCAGATCCTGCACTACTAGGCGGCCCACTGGTTGAAGGCGGGTCTGCATTCCCATTCACCACAGAAAAAGCACGTCGACCCCGTCCAACCCCAGTTGTTGAAGTAGGCATCTTTGAAATCCCAATCTTCCTCTTCTTGTCTATGGACACCTCGTCAGTGTTATTCTTTCCCTGCAAAACAACACATGAATCCCACCACAAATCAACACCTCAAAATTCAAAATTTCACCAAAAACTCCACAATCAAGAGGATGAAACTGAATTAGCTCGATCATGATGTGAACAAAGTCCCTGAACACAATCAAACCTCTATCCTAACCATCTAAACATTCACCACACACCAAAATCCATGGGTTGGGGGGAGGGCATATTTAGATGCTGAATACTACCAATTCCTTGAAATCAATCGTTTTATTTCTAATGAGTGACAGAAACTGAGAGAAAGTAAATCAAATTGCAGGCTTTTGTCATTGAAAAAGAAAGAAGGGAATAAAAGAAGCCTTACGTTGGAAGGGCTAGAAGGAGTGCGATGTACAGGCGGCTTGTTCTGGTTCTTAGGAGCCATTCTTTTTGAAATATAGAGAGTGAGAGATAGCAGTAATGGAATGAGATTTAGAGAGAGAAACGGCACAACGGGCTGGTGATGAAATCAAAGGGGGGATGAATTTCGAAAGCTTTTCACCAGACGGATCTAGGGTTCAGATTGCGTTTGAAGCTACCAGATCTTATCACAGCCGTTGCTTTGAATTGCAGTAAACTGGTCGACACTCTGATTTCAATTCTCCCTCTCCCCCACTATTCTTAGACAATAAACCCTAAAAGAGAAATTCAAATGGCGGATTATTAAGAAACTGGTGAATCACTTTCTCTCTCTCTCTCTACCAGATTTGAGTGCGTCCACTTCTTGCCCCGATCGGTCATTTTACAGCGGAGACGCCGATGGGGGGTTGGGGGTACGGTGTCGCCGTGCGGGGGTGGGGAGGAGTCGGGTCGGGCGCTAAAGGCGGAGCGTATGTAACTTTTTTGAATGATTTTGAAAAAGGGAAGTCTGGCGGCATGAGCCCTATAGATTCGTTGAATTGGGTGTTTGACAATTTTGCCCCCCAACGGTTACCTTTATCTCTATTACTCCCTCTGTCCCAAAACGTTTTTCCCACTTCCCTTTTTTCTCCGTCTTAAAACTATCTTTCCATTAGAAAAAAAGATGACAAATGACATTAATACCCTCATGTATTTACACCAATTATTTTCTAACTCTATAATTTGAATGATTGAAAAAAAAATTCAAAAAATCTTTTTTAAGGAGAGTAAAATTTGAAGTCAAAGCCAAAAATTAAAAATGAAGAAAAGTCAAACTGAGAAGAACGTTTTAGGACGGATGGAGTATTTTAGATCGATTGATTTTTAGGTCAATTTCCATTCCTAAAATTCAAAACATGTCTAAAACATTAACCATTTTTTTACTTAACTTTATTATTTATTTGATAAATAATATATTTATGCCACTCCTTTACATGTACAATTTTTATATAGCTTTTAACTAAATAATTTTTTATTTTTAAATTTAATATCAAAGTTCTGTTAAATTAAATTAAAAATAAATCAGTCAAATATCTTAAACAATAATAGATTACTTGAATTGGGACAAAGTTAACAATAACTTTGAAATCCAATCATAACAAACCCCTAAAAATCATCTTAGCCTCTTTTGGTAAATTTTAGAAATATGATATGTGTTTTAAAATTTGAGAAAATGATATAAGTTCTAAAATCTAAAATAATATTATTTAGATATACTGAAAATAATTATTTAATTGGAGATAAGCGGGTGTGACCGACAACAGTGGTGATTGGTGGTAACAATGACTACTAGTGGCGAAGAATAGTCAACAATTGTGAAGATAAATCAAAATTTCATATTGATATCTTCCGAAATCGAGACCTATTGAAACCTTTCATTTTGAGTATTTGTGATATTTGAAGATATTAAATTTTATATCTCTTTAGGTTTCACCAACTATAAAAAAAGATTTCTTACATCTAAAAATATCAAAGCTCATATCTCTTTGATTTCTGAAGAAACTAATTTTATATTCATATTATGCACTTGCACATATGCTCCTTCTGATTATTTTCTATTTAATTTTCTGGCGAAGATGAGAGCATTGGTACTCATTTTCCAAATTAGATGGTGCACCACAGCCCATTACCCCATTATCATTCATTGTTTTCTCTTTTTTGTTTCTCATTTTTCTTTGTTTTGTTCCACTTCATAAACTTTTTTCAATGTTTTTTAATTTGATTTTTATAATGTTTTAAAAATTTAAAATTGTCCAGATCCGATTTTCGCATGACTCGATTGGGTTGTTGTTGTCGTGTTTAAAAATTCAAGATTGCTTTGAAACAAAGAAATAAATGAAGGAAAATGCTAGGGGTACACTAAAAGTGTACCCCAAACATCCCCACCCCCTCCATCACCACAAAAAAAAGCAAAAAAATTCAAAAAAAAAATAAAAAATAAAAATAAAATAAAATGAATGGTAGAAAGGGGAGTGGTGTACATTTGGGGTACACATTTGGTGTACCCCTAGCATATCCCATAAATGAAATAAAAAAAATGTAACATACACTTTATCTGTCTCAAACTAAACATTTTTTTCTTTTACAAAACAAAAATGCTTTTCTTTAGGCGTTCAAAAAAAATGAGGAATAGAAAATAAAATAAAAAAATCGAAAAAGAGAATGAAGGGAAAAAATATACTACTCTTACTAAGGATACCGGATACGTAGTCTTGGATTGATTGTGCTGATCATGTTAATTTTGTGGACATTGTAAAATTCAAAATTTTTTTGTTAAGGGGAGGATATCGATTTTCATTTATGCCCTCAGACTGGCGGATCGGGAAGAAGAAGAAGAAGACACTTGCAGGAGCTTGGACGTGGCTTTAATGAATTCGAAGCGTCCCCGGGAAGTTTCAAAGTACCAGCGCGACCCTCCCCGGACCAATGCGTGGTTTATCATCGGAGACACCACCACCAGACCAAAAATATATCCGACCATTCTAAACCATCGCCTCCTTGGGGTTACATCTACGACACTGTTGAGCACACAGGTCGCTTTCTATATCTTCCAGAACATTATACAGATTTTGGCCCTAAAATATGTGTCCCTCTAGATGGTCACGGGGTCCGAGTTCCGATGTTTATGCCGTAAGAGGGTGATCTGAAATGGTTTAACCATGCGACAACGGGAAGGAAGAAATTGGAGATTGAGTGCCTGGCGTCTTTATCAGAAGATCTTCTGGGTAAGCCGTATGCAGTTTCAAGTGATACATTATATATTTATGACAACTTTGGCTCTGAACCAGTGCTGCACGCCTACAACATAAGCAGTTGGAGTTATCTTGCCATCATTTACCTCCACCAATTCGCTCACTTGGTTGCCGATCAACTTTGGGCTCTTATAGTTCCCGTAGCCGATTTTGAGCTTTGCCTCTTGTGGCACGAGGGAGACCGTGCTTGCCCTGACACCGAGGATTTGAGGCCCCTGTATAATGCCATGGTTTCAATCTGCCTTTATCCTATGGCACCCACAGCCACTCTGTTGAAGGAAGCCATATTGGGCATCAATGAAGTTGAGGTTATCAACTGCCTGCCATATGATTCGGTTTCAGATGACAACGATCATTCGCCCGTGATGGAAGCAGACGTATATGGTGCCTCTAGCAGCAGCAAAAGGAATGCGCGGGTGAAAGAACATGCAGCTCTGTTTCAGAATGTGGACAGTTCGGCAATGGTGCTGGACTCTTTGTTGCAGATCAGAAATACCTTTACCCAGATCCCCTCCAATGCCAAACTGCCTCCAAAGAAGATGAAGGAATCTAATATTTGATTACTCAGTCTCTCAAGTTTCCTCCCTTGAGCTTTAGAATGAATGAAGGGCAAATAACTTCGGATAACTTATGACAGAAACACTTGCCACTGAACACTATGCTTTAAATACTAATGCTTTGTAAAACACTTCTCAATAATTTCACTTCTAAACACAGCTCAGTAATTTCACTTCTAGTCTAAATCCAATTCTTCAAGGTTCAATCTTGTTAAAAAATCAGGGAAGATCAAATGGCTGGTGTTCTTGCAAGATAATCAATTCTGGAGATTTGTTTCAAAGAGTTGAAAGACATTGTAATGATTTGATTCAAACTCTGAAAATAACAGAAGCTAAATCACCAACTTTATGAAGAGAAGAGATAAGAGCGTCCAATTGATTCTTTAGATTATACACACAATCTAAGAGGGAAGCAGAGACAACAATGAAAAAGTAACAAATACGGAGTCGTTAAACGGGAGACCTAATCTCTCTATCTACTGAAGCAACAAGAACAGGTACTATTCTGAGTGAGACAAGCAAGAAGACCTTCAATTCCAAATTCCATATTCCCTCCTCCTCATCTAATCTTCATCGGCTGCCTTGGATCCACCAGCCTTCTTTGGGAGGAGAAGGGTGTGGATGTTGGGCATGACACCTCCATTGGCAATGGTCACATCCCCAAGCAGCTTGCTCAGCTCCTCGTCATTCCTCACAGCCAATTGGATGTGCCTCGGCACAATTCTTGTCTTCTTGTTGTCCCTGGCCGCATTTCCGGCCAATTCCAGAACCTAATCGTCAAAATCGCGATTCAGAAGGAGGGGAATTTGTTAGAACCCTAGCAAACCCTAGAAACGAAAATTGGGGGAAATAATAGAGAAAAAAGAGATTGAAATTGAAATTGAAATCGAGGAATACCTCAGCAGCGAGGTACTCGAGGACGGCGGCGAGGTATACCGGGGCTCCGGCACCGACGCGCTCCGCGTACTTCCCGGCCTTAAGGAACCGAGCGATACGGCCGACTGGGAACTGGAGACCGGCCTTACTGCTTCGTGAGACCGCCTTCTTCGAGGCAGAGGAACCACCGAGAGTCTTTCCACGTCCGGCCATCGCTGCAACCGCCGCCGATGTGAAGAGAAACTTGCTTTTCTGGGTAGGGTAAAGGATTCGGAGATAGAGAGAAGATGGCGGTGATTCGGATGGGATATGAGGGCAGTATTTATATAGGCATGGCAATTTAAACGCTGGCCAATAGGGTGAGAGTACGCGGATCGTAAATCTCAGCCGCTGATTAGAAATAAATCGACGGTGTGGAAGAGACGATAGACCCGCTTCTCAGTTTTACTTTCTGTGTGTGCTTTCCCAAGATTCAAAAAGCGGATTGCGAATTTGGGATGGCGGGTAAACTCCAAATGCATCAAAAAGTAAATACGATCCACTTTTAGAGATAAAATTCAAATTTAATGTTTGATTTCATTTTTAAATTATTCAATTATCATTTTAATAAGTCTGATGTTATACTCATATTGCTTGAGAGATTAACTGATCTAAAATTCCAGAACTTTAATATAAAACTAAATTTAAACTTTTAACATTTTTAATTTGCATACCTTCCATATCATTGAAACAAAAGATTATACTTGAACATACAAAAGCACAAAGTCTACTTTTATTTTTGTTTATCTTGCAAATGTAGAATTTTATTTTTTCTTTTGTGAAAACACCCATATCAAAATTTGTCTAAATAATGTTACAGCTAATGAAATTTTCTCTCTCGAATAGTTGATAAACAAATTGTAGTTGGTCGACATTTATATATTTAAAACTTATAAAAACTTTACCGAGCAAGTATTATGGATTGGAACTGAGCTTGATACCACAATTTTTCCCTCAGTTTGATTTTGTGTCCAATGGGAGTGAATTTTCTCTCATACAAAGAATTTCATGCCGCAGCTTGTGGACACATAGAGTGCTCATTGGATCCTCTCTTGGCGGAGGCGCGGAGGCACTGGCTTGTAGATAGAGGATTTTGTAATTGCATACCTATGGGGTTTGAGAGGTGACACTTTTTTCACTTTGCCTTTGTCCGGTTCAAACTTTTCAACGAGTGTTTCATTTTCTTGCTTGTCATACTTCCGTGCAGTTATTGAGAATTGTTTACCCCTTACGATTACATTTGGTTTCAACACTCTCTTCTAAACATATTGAAAACACACATTTCTTAATTTTCAACGTTTCTTAAATTCGAAGTCTATAAAAAGTTTTCTTTAACGCACATTTCTTTTTTTCACTCCTTTTCGTCCATAAAAAGTGTTGTATTTCACAAATATACAATTTTTTTTAGATATCAATGAGGTGAAACTGGAAATAGTAATATATGATCATACTCTAAAATTTATTAGTTAGAGTAACATAAGAGTAATTATTTCCCAAAACCATCATTTATAATACCCCGGAGTATGAGAAATTCCGCATATAGTCTACTTTTTTTTAAAAAAAAATATTGTTTAAAATATTATATTCATGAGCCTATATATTTGAGTATTCGATAAGAGAATCAGAGATGGAACATTTTCCCGAAGTAGATGGAAACATCATGTTATATTTCATATGTTCCATGAAAAAAGACCTTTTTGTCAACACATTTCTGTCTCATACAATGATACAAACATCAACTACAAGCACTTCAAAGCAAGAAACTCAACATTGTTTTGTGACACCACTCCTGGAATATGCTTCAGCCGCCACTGGATCGAAGTGAAGGAAGCTCAAGAAGACCCCACACAGTGTTCTACGAAGAAGAAGAAGAAGAAGAAAAAGCGGGGGCAGCTTCTTCTTCTTCTTCTTTTTCTTCTTTTGATTTCTCCTTCTCTTTCTGTAGTCTCTTCCAGTTATCTGCACTGTCTATGATCTCACCAGTTTTCACAAGGTAGCGAACCCGTTTTCCATTGTCTAGCGTTTTATGCCCTACCCTGCTTGCTAATTGCTTCTCCACGGAGTAGAGCATCACATTTGAGCTGTGAATGGGCGCTTCCACCTGCAAATTATTACTTGTTTTAGAGAGCTTTTTTTATTTTGCTCTCTGATAACTACTGCTTTGGAATTCCAAGAGAGCATTAATTAATCTTTACCCACGACTTCAATTCTCAAATCATACTATACTATTGTTATCTTGATATTAGAAAAATATATTGCTTTGATATTATATGTGTGAAGGGAATGTTCACGAGAAAGATTGATTATACTGCAGTACTGTACCTAGAAATTTTAAAAAATACACTTATTTTGCAAATCTATAAAACTCCCGAAATGTAATTATCGGAACTGGATGGAGTACTGAACTTTTTTGAAGGGCCATGTTTGCTAAAGTAACAACTTTTTAATTTTGGTTATTACAACTCTAAAATGTAAGACTCTGCATAACTACATTTGGTTGTTTGTTACTTTGTTTAGCTTAACTATCACATTTAACTCATTCGTATATTGGGGAATCACATTTTAAAAGATCAGTTATATTGATTGAATGAGACTTCTTTTTTGGGGAGGTAAAACCTTTTTGAAATATCACCCTTTTTGTGGGAAGGAGGGAGAAGTAAACTAACCTTAACTATCTGTCCGGATTCACCTTCTTGCTTGCTCTTAACATGCTTGGTCTTCAAGTTAATGTCCTTCACTATGACTTTGCTGTTATGCCTGATAACCTCAGTAACATCTCCAATTTTACCTTTATCATGCCCAGTTATTACTTTCACCGTATCTCCAACTTTAACATGCAGTTTGTGTAGCAGAGGAAGGCTGTTTGGCTTGCACTCTTTGCGCTCCCATCTCTTAAGCTGCTCGTGTAGCAATAGGAACAATACTCAATTCATCAAATATTTCCATCATGTGTTTTAATGCATTAATCCAGAAATACTTCATGCAGTGTTTCTTCTGAACATTCACAGAGAATGTATATAATGAGAAATTGTGGGGAAATGTTAAACAATCAAAGGGCATGTTTGGTAGCCATATCAGCTTATTAGAGTTGCTTTTGATTTACTTCTTTGGATGCAATGTGTGTTACCAAACACAATTCCTTTCAAAACAAAAAAAAATCAAATTCAACCTTATCAGCTAAGATTTGGCCATTTCAGCCAAATGACCCTTAATAAAGGGGCCCTGACACTCATTTTGCTGAAAACCATACTCCGTATTTAATGGCATCCAACAATTTCACATCGATTTTTTATGTTCAACCTGCCTTGTCAAAATCCAATACATGAAATAATACAATAGAGTGAAATTTAATGGATGAAGGGGAGCCTTGACACAACGCGTGAAGTGTTTCTGTGTGACCTTGAGGTCACGGGTTCAAGTCCCCATTACATCCTTATCTTAAGACCCTTCTTCATATCATCACTCAGAGGGAACGCTTTACACACTAGGCTGCACTTGAAAATTTAAGAAGTCTCTGCCTCTCAAAACAAGTATCAAAAAAATCAAGTAAACGTATATTTCCTCCACATCCAACTATCTAAGAAGTCATTTCACTGTTTCATTTCTTTTTCTGTTTCAACTTTGAACACAAACAAAAACTCGGTGAACATGCATCGACACAGAGAGGAAAACCATGACCACTGCATTATCTCTAGGTCTCCATAAGAATGCAAAAGCTAAAACAACAGAGACAGTAGAGAATGCAAACACATACCTTTGCTGCAATAGGAAAAGGTTTCTCAATTGATTTAACCTGCAAATTACCACCGAAAGGCAGTTATTACTTATTACTCAGTGTAGATTTGTAATGAAAAAGTTTGGATTAAAAAATTGCATTAGTGCATATGACTAAGGAGAGCACTTAAATAACCTTTTTTTACTTTTTTGCAAATTGATGAAAGGATAGAATTTGTTATTGCAACGAAACATGTGAGTGTGTGGGCTAATTATTCACTCTAACAACCAGGGAAAGCCACTGGTTGGGAAAACCAGAGAAGACAATGTAGCATTTGACTAAGTATAAATACTAAGCAAGCACTCGGAAACCTAACATCTAGTACTTCAGCAGCCTATACTTCAGAATCAACTAATCTGTGGAACATAAGCAATTTCACATATGATAGCATGTTTTGGGTCTTTGGTTGTTCTTCTCCACGGCCTAAGACTAATCTTGAAAAACGTGGAAACATTTTTGTGCACTAAAACTGATTGTTTAACTTTAATTTCCAGTGCACTTTCAAAATGGTAAAAAACACTATGTGGCTCTTAGAGAAGAGCCTAAGCGGCTCTTCTCATAGGACTATTTCTCATAGGACTAATTCACGAATTAACTCGAGAACTCCAATTAGAATTTCCATATATTCAGTTGCAACTAGGGCAAATGATCGAAGGAAAATGTTTGGAGTAGGTAATGTTTATATAGATGTTTACTACTCATTCAACTATTCAAGAACTCCTTCATGGCTTCATCTACTTGTTTAACTGTTCACTAAAGACTGCACCTTTTTCAAGACAATACATTGATCAAACAGAAATAACTATTCATAAAGCGAGAAACCCTAAATGCATAGCCTCTATTGTCAACGAATCAGCTATATTTCTATCTTCCAAACTCAATTGTTGCAAGATAGGTTACCAGAAGTCTTAAATGCAAGGGCGATTAGAGCCTCCATATCCAGGTGAATGGAAGTAATTTCAAGGAAAATAAAAGGAGCGTACATACAGGAGGCGAGCACGCGGAGGAGGAGAGACGTTGGCCTATGAAGGAGCTGGGCGAGAAATAAAGAGAAGTAAACGAGCTCTGCAGAGCTACCATTCCCGCCATTGTTATGCCGCCGGTAGAAGGTTTAGCAGCTGAGAATAATAGATAGATAAATGGATAGATTAGCGCACAAGGGTGAAGGAGATGATGACCAAATTTGAATGGTTCGCATATGGTCTCATTCCATTCTAATAAAAAAATACTTGGTTAATAAATAGTTCTCCGTCTTTAAATATTTGCTACACTTGTATTCCCGAGGTAAAATATCAAGTTTTTTCAATTCATTTTATTTACATATTGGTATAGAAATAAAGAATAAAATTTACATATCAAAAAACTACATAAAAAGTTCTTCGAAATAAGAGGTGTCAAGAATATTCTATTTTATCAAATAACCAATGAAAACGTAGAAATAAATAAAAGTTCCCGTAACTGTTGAAAAAACAAATGTTGTAAATATTTTAGGACGGAGTGAGTAATAAGAATAAATTGAAGATAGTGTGATCCAAGTTGTCCTCACTTCTTTAGGTGGTACTTCTACATGTGCACCAAAATAAGGTTGATTTGATATGATATTAATGGATCTAATATAATTTTATATTTTTGGAATGTAATTTAACGTTGTTATTCAATTCATATGATTATGATAAACATGAGTAGTAGGCATACAAAATTTGTTTGAGGGAAATGGGGTCTTAGAACTTGTTCTTTTTGTTTAATTATATCTGATTTGATTTTACTAAAGTTTGACTTAATTTGGTTATAGTTATTGATGAAATTTATCTCAACAACAATGGCGTATGAAGAACAAAGTAAACAATATTGAAAATATTCGGCGGTTCAATGTTTCTCTTGTGTTATGCCCATTTTGCTTGGTTTACAATGTAGGACGAGCCTCCTATTTATAGCTCAAGTTTACCCTATACATAGCAAGTATCGTCGTGCGCTACATCATCGGTCATTTCGCTAATCGTGCGATGATCATGGGGGGAGTCGGTTATTGATGCCCATCAATCCCACAATTCATGGAATTACATTTATTTTGATATTGGATGTTTTCCCGGCCCACTTCACGGACTTCACTTCCGAGTTTGCAACCGGAATCTAATTGGGTCATTCCTATTTGGGCCACTGACTTAGATATCTATCATCAATGTTAAAAAATTATTCTTGATCTTAGGTGATTTTAATAAGAATAAATAATAACATTACGTTGGATAGTGATTCTAATCTTAATGATAAATGTTATGTTTTACTCATTATTGGGGTGATTTCTTATTACTTTTTAGATTTTTATCAATCCCAAACTAATTCTCGTATTAAAAAAATTAAACTTTTGATTTACTTTTTTTTGGTATATAGATTTTTACTTTCTTATAAATAAACTACAATCACATGCATTTAATATTTATTAATTTATACACTGAAAGTCATTTAAAAGGATTAAATTCTCTAAATAACACTTTATAACTTAGGGTTTTCATATTAAGCTTATATTTATCAAATATTATGTTTGTGATCCTTATTCAATGTTTATTATTCTACGTTTAGTCCTTTTCCAATAACACTAAAATAGAAAAGTAGATGGGGGACTAAGGTGTCGTTCTCTTTAACTTATTTCTACTACTTATTGCTTATTCTTATTAGATTCAGATCAGTTCAGATTAGATTATGTTCATTTAGATCAGATTCATTCAGATTAGTTCTGATCAGATCGCATTTATTCAAATCAGATTCATTCAGATCAATGCAGATCAAATCCATTCAGATATGAAAATTATTTAAAAAAATAAACAATATTAAAATAATATTCAAAAATTAAAATAATAACAATTATTATTTTTATTTTTATCATTAATAATAATAATGTTAATAGTTATTAATAGTAATTAATAAAAATAAAAATAAAAATAATTAATAATAATTAAATCCAAAACAATAATAATGATAATAATTATTTTTAACGATTAATAATTAATAATAATGATAATTACAATTCATAATAATATTTATTTTTAAATATAATAATAATTTATAATTTTCATAGATAATCATAAATATTATTATTATTATCTATTATTATCTATTATTTATCTATTATTTATAATAATAATAAATGTAATAATTAAAATAATATGGAGTAATAACTAATATTTACAATAATAATTACTAATAATAAAAATTATATTTTTAATATTGATTAAAAAATAATTAATATTATTAATGATAATTACTAAAATAATTTTCACTATTGTTATTATTACAATAATAAATTATATTTAAAAATGATAATCATCATGAGTAATCATAACGGTTAATAATAAAAATAATGATGATGATGATGATGATAGTAATAAATAGGATTATGAAAATAATCATGATAGTAGTAATAATAATAATTAATAATTAACATTATTATTATTATTAAAAATTATTACCATAATAATATTAATAGTAATGATTTAAAAAAATGAATAATAAATTATTATTTTTATCATACATTGAGATTTATAATGATAATCATCATCAATTATCATAATACTAAATATTAGTAAAAATAATAATTCATTATAATAATGATAATAAATATAATTATTACACTTATAATGATAATACTAATAATAATTAAAATAATAAAAATTATTATTTGTTTATATTAATAATAATTATTAATAGTATTTAATAATAATAATAATTAATAATAAATTGTTATTAATATAATAATAATAATTTGAATTTGAATTAATTCCATTTAGATCAGATCAAGTCAGATCCGTCCAAATCAGATCAGGGCAGATCGATTTAGATTAGATTAGATCCATTGAAATCAGATTAGATCAACCTTAAAAGGTTCGGTTCAGATCATAGCTGATGAAGAGAACACAACCTAAACGTAAAATGGTATCCAATTAATAAGAACTGTTAACATAATATTTAATAAATATAGACAACAACAACAACCTATAGAATCCCACAAAAATAGGGTTTTGGAGTTGATAAATATAGAGTAAATACTCCGTATGAAAAACATTGAATAATAAATTAAATGACTATAATTGAGGGACGAGTTAGGACTAAAGGTTTTATAATTGAAAAAAGCTAAAGAAATCCCAAATTACATCCCACTTTTGATCTTAACTAGACTCGTACCCGTGCGATGCACGGACTGTTAATTTACATATATTTAGTCAATGTTTGGAATAATGGAAAATGTTACAAAACTGGAAAGATTACATAATTTAATATTATTCCCCAAAAGGGAATTCTATATAGTAATGAGCAAAGTCGATATGAAGTGTTAAAAGTTTTGGAACACTTCTTTATAAACTACAATTGTAGAGAACGATACATTGCTAATATTTATCCTTCTAAATTTAGAATTTAATAACAAAAATCTAACATTCGTTATAATCATTATATGCATACAAATGTGATGTTTTACTTAAAAAATTAACAATAAAAAGAAATATGTTGTCCATTTCTTGTAAGCGTAGTGAATGACACATTGCTAATATTTATCGTTTTAAATTTGGAATTTCATAAAAAAAACCAACATTTGTCATAATCAAAATAGACATATAAATAATTAACATTACAAAAATCCATCAAAACAACATGTATAAAAATATATTAAAAATAATATATTATTTTTAATAGAATTTTATTAAAATACATTTTTAAACATGTTAAATAAAAAAACAAAAAATGGCCCTATTTGACTGCAACCAACCCGATTAAATCCTTAATTGAATCTGAATTGAAAAATTAAATATGTGAAATTGACTCATCAAAATTAAGCCCAAACCCGAGCCAAATTGGGTCAGAATTGAATATACTCAAACCTTTTTAAGCCCCTTCCAAAAAACTTTTTTTAACTAATCCACCAGTCCAATTTTATAAACCCAACCCACCACAACCCTTCAACCCAGCCCACTAATAAAACCTAAATATATTTTCTACCCGAATCTCTCTCTCGGTCGCTCCCTTTCCGCCGTCGCCTGTCTCGCTCCCTCCCTCTTCGTCTCTATGCCGCCGTTCAATGGATCTTCGTTTATGGATGTAAGATTCTTGTTTCGAACTTCATTTCTATGGATCTTTCTCTCTTTATCTTTTTTTCGAATTCTTTCTTTCTCATAGTTTATCAAATCTGTCAAAATATTTGTTTATCTTTTTTTAAACAAAAATATTTGTTTATCTAATTAATGCACGATTATTTTTTTATAATAATTAAAATTTAATACTCCCTCCGTCCACAAATAAATTTCACTTTTACTATTCATAGAGTCAAATTTTATTTACTTTATTGCCCTATTTTCGTCACTCATTTAATAAAATAATATAGTTATGTCAACTCTAGTTTTGTTATTTTTGTAAATCTTTTGATATAGTCTTTTAATATGTAATTTTTATTTTTTAAATTTTAAACCAGTTTTCATATAAAGCGATTTAAAAATAACTTCAGTCAAACATTATAACGCATAACAGAAAGTTTATTTATGGACGGAGAGAGTATATAATATATAAAATATTTAGTAACCATGTTTCGTCCAGCCCAATTATTTCCTTGGCCCAATAGCATTTTGATATATATGCCTTATTTCTAACCCTAATACTCCATTCTTCCGTCCCTCTCTTCCGCCGCTCTCTCCCACCATCTTTCTACCTCTCATCTCCGTTCATCTCTGTCTTATCTCCGTGTCGCCACTCTTCTACCATTTTCGGATCCGTCTCTCACATATCTCCCACCAACCGATTGGTTTTGGCGATGCATATATGTATGGTTTCATTTCCAACTTTGCTTTGTTCAACATTGAATTTTTGCACGATTTGGGCACAATTTTGATTTAATCTTATTTTCACTTAAACAAATCCAGGTTTGCTTCGTGTGATTTATTGTTTTTTGTTCATCGAATAAATATATCTTCCGATTAGTATTTACAGGATCTATATATTCTTTAGATCTTTAGATATGTATTTATTAGATCTATATATATCAATTATATAATTCAATTTTTAAACTTTTAAACTTTTAATTATATAATTCAATTTTTAAATCTCCTTTCGGTTCTCGAATAATTTTTTTTTTTCATCATTTTTTATCCAAGAAGAATAGGTGTTTATGGAATTATTTCTTTGTGAACTATTTTCTACAACTTTTGTTATTTTTTTGGGAACTATTTTCTACAACTTCTGTGATTTTTAGGCTTTTAATATTTGAGGCATCAAACAAAATGAACGTATCATGGCGAGGCATAATGGAATAAACCCCCGTTGTTGCAGCCATGTCGGTTTCATTTCTTATATTGCTTAATCTTAAAACCCGTTTAAAAAAATAAGTTGTCCATTTCTTGGAAGAAATTTGTTGTTCAAACAATTTCTCTCCATTCTTATTGTGTTATTTGGAGCATTGAACAATTTCTCTCCTACACACACACACACACTCTTTTAATTATTCACCTTTGGCTACTTTACTGGATATATATGCTCCTTTAATATATATATATATATATATATATATATATATATATATATATATATATATATATATATATATATATATATATATATATATATATATATATATATATATATATATATATATATATATATATAGGGCTGTGATGATATGCAAGGACTGAAATCCGTTATGGTGAATTTTTAGGATTTTAATGTTTGAGGCATCAAAGAAAATGAATGTATCTTGGCGTGGCGGAACGAAATTAACCTCCGTTGTTGCAGCCATGGCGATTTCGTTTCTTATATTGCCTCAAACTTAAACCTGTATTAAAAATCTGAGCCTATATATATATATATATATATATATATATATATATATATATATATATATATATATATATATATAGACACACACACACACA